TTTCTCCCCGCGCAGAGCCGCGATCGCTTTGACGAGATCTGGTCCCCAACAGAGTTTCTCCCACCTGCAGCCCCCTCTGCATGGAGCTCCAGCTAGAATGATGGGGGCAGATGGGGGGTGCTGGTGAGCTCGCCCTGAGGTCAGGGGGTGCCGTTGGGGGCCATGGCCTCCTCTTGAGAATGGCAGCTCAGGGTCCCGGCAGCCATGGCCCTGGGACACTCCCTGTGTCTGCCCCTATTTGCCGGGCCTGGCCCCTTCCTGTACGAGGGGCTAAACCCCCCATCGAAGGCACTGGACTCCGAGGGGCTGAACCCCTTCCCAGGGGGCCTTGCACCACCAGGTTGGAGGCTCCGGACGCCAGGACATCGGGGCGGCCTGGGGACCCCGGTGGGAGGGCACCCAAACCATCCTGATTTGCTTCTTCCTCCAGGACCTCATTCCCCCGAAGTCCTGCCCCCACAGAACTCAGGCGTCACCTCAGCTCTGCCCCGGCACAGAGGTGATCGCTGGTCGTCAGAAGGAACGCCGCCGACTGAGCCGTGATTTCCCTGGGCGTGAGTCAACGCTGCCCGCTTACGGGCGGGGGTGAGCCTGCGGAAACCTGCCCCAGCTCCTGCCGTCACCAACCCCCGCTCTGTGTGAAGACCCCAGGAGGGGCACGAGGGGACAGTGGGGGGAGGGAGCAGTGGGTGGGGGGCTGGGCTTCTCTTCCTTGGGGGTCGGAGTCCACTGGGATGTCAGAGAAGTCGAGAGCCTGGTGGACGACCCCACAGGCCCCCAGGTGCTAGTTCCCCTGGAAAACGACGTCAGTGAGCCCCACCCTGCGTCTCCAGCCCTCTGCACCCCCCGCCCCCGGGGCCATCCAGGGGCTCAGGGGTGACTCTGGCCCCCTGGAAGCTGTTCTCGCCTCCTCAGAGGCATCGTCTGCATCCTCAGGAAGTTTGCTTTTTCCCAGTTGTTGAGATGAGCTTGAATCCCCAAAGTCTCGCCCTTACGGCCAGTACCAAGGAGAAACCTCTTCCCACCATTTATCTGGCCAAGTACCACAGTGTGGAGCCTGGGCTTTTACACTGCCCCTGCCTGCACCTTGGCAGAGCAGTTCTGGCAGCACGTTGAAGGGTCAGCAGGGAAGGGGCTAGGTAAGAATGCCCGGGTCTCCCCGTGGACAGGACAAGCCTCCAGAGGCAAGGGAGGTGGCGGGTGACGGCCAGCGGCCGAGTGAGTCTGCGGCCCTCACCCGCAAGGATGCAGTCCACGAATCCCTCTGCGGGATCCCGGGGCGTCTCAGCAGGACTCCGGCCGGTGCACTGTTCTCGGGAAACGCGACTTCCGGGCAATGTGGAGCAGGAGGAACTCGGGAGGAAGCCTGGGAAGCAGAGACTGGGGGTGGGGGGCGGGGGCTGTGAAATGACCGTGGAGTCCAGACCTTGAGTCAGAATGTGCCAGGGGTAGTGCAGCCCCTGGAGCGACCCGTGAGTGACCCGCGAGTGGAAAGGACCCTGTGTCCTCATCCCGCTCACACCCAGGAACCTCCAGAACTTGGACTGTGGCCAGGCCACTGGGGTGGGGGCGGCGAGAGTGAGGGAGGGTGGTGGGGGGGGAGGCAGGGTAGATTTGGGAGCTTCCTACTTTCTGCCCAATTTTGCACTTTTTGAACCTGCAGCTGCTCTAAAAATAAAGTTTATTGATGAATTTTACAAAGTCAGGAAAGAACATCTACAGTAAGTCAGATATGATCAGTAATGAACACCAACATTGTTAGCCAAGAATACAGTAATTCTTATAAGGTACAGAGTGGTAAAGAACAATGAGTAGTATACATCCAATTGTTTAACACTCAATGTACAGTCAGCATGTTCTGATCCCACGTGTAAACTGTATAAAAGAGAACTTTGCTTTTTGTTTGCACAAACGTTGCCTCCTCGCAGCAAACGTTTGTGATGCTAAAACGTACCGTGTCGAGAGGTTGTGCAGCTGCTGCTTGTTTCAAAACGAAGGGAAGTTATTGCTGCCTGTGAGGCTACTGAGTTACACTGCCACCTCTAACCCAAGGGGTCTCTTCACTTCCAGGAGATGGTATTTTATTATACAGCAAGATTACTGTGTAGTCGAGCTAGGTCAAAAGGTTTCCTTTTTAAAAAAAGAAAAAAAGCAAATGCATGGAGAAATGTGTCTGCCAGGTGCCGGGGTGCGGGTTCTCGGTGCTTCTGCTGGTGGCCTTGCGTCCATAGATGGCTTATTGTCATCCCGGGTGTCATTTAGGAAATGGTGTAAAAACTGCTTCTTAGAGCAAGAATCCTTGCTTGTCTAGAAGCCATCCAGCTGCGGAGGGAATCCTCTTGGCGTCTGCTGTTTGGCAAGTTGCTCTGCCCTTTCACCCTGGAGATAAAGGGGGCCCTGCTGCCCGAGGGAGGTCGGCAGGGGGTGGCCCAAGCGGCGGGAATGCCCTCTGTCTTTATGTCACACCCGTCCGTTGTTTAACGGAGAAAGTGGGAGAAGGGAATCTGTTCTCCAGCTCCTTCCTTTGCATCCACTGGTTGCACCCTTTCCCCTCCGATGCTTGGGCAGCTCTCCCGGGACCTGCGACCGTCCGGGTCCCTGGCACTCAGGAAGGACGCTGAGGTCTTTGTGGCTCCGTGTGCTCTCCGTCCTGAGGTCCCTGCGTGAACAGGATTTGCCTGCAAACCCACACAGCTGGGGCGGGTCCCCCGGTGCCAGTTCTCAGCCTCGGCCGCACCTCAGAAGGACTCCGGGAGCTCGGAAAAGTGCAGAATCTGGAATCTGCACCCAGAGATTGGTACTGATGTGTTCTGAGGCATAGCTTCTTGCTCCAGGATTGTGCAAATCTGCCGGTGACTTCACCGCGCATCGGGCTGAGAACCGCCCACCTCGGGCGGCCCTGCTCAGGACGGTGAGACCCTTGGCAGCCCCCACCGGCACGGAGTAACCAGATCCATGGGGCCCAGCAGAGTCTCTAGTCTGTGTTGCTCAGTACATATTCATTGTAAACAGGCAAGTGAAACCATTTGCACCAACTGCACGTCGATCGTAAAAATGCCAATAAAATAATTTGCAACAGAATGCTCCGTTACTGCTTTTTTTTTTACACCTCCAGGGTCACAGCAGCAGAGGGGTGGAGGGTGGTCCACAGTTGGATCTGTCTCTTAGTGACAACAGACACAAATTCTCTTCCAATAACAGCCCCAACCAGACTCAAAAGAACCCGCTTCACACCCAGGCTAAGCTCAATGTGCCTTTCCACCTGCCCCCTTTCAGAAGTAGGAAAATAGGATCCTCATTTCCGTCAGGACGTGGGCCCGAGCCTAGGTCTGCGATGACACTGTGAGAGCAGGCAAGCGAGAGGGAGGAGAGACCTTGCTCCCACTCCAGCGAATCCCCTCTGCAAACAAAGATCCCGGTTTCGAATTTCGGTTCTCTTACTGCCTCTGTAAGGTAAACTATTTCCTTTTGTAGGAAGAAAGGACTCTAAAAGATACCTTGCAAAGTTTAGTGCTACAGAAAAGGGTAATATTCCTCCCCACAGTCACAAAAATAGATTTACAGAGAACACCCTGTCCGACTAGCGCAAAGGTGCACGCCCCTCGCGCGGCTCCAGGATGGAGGCAGGTTCCGATCAGCTACAGCCCCCGGGGGGACAGGACCACGCCGTGACCGTGTGCTTCTGCAGAGAGAGAGAATGTCAAGTGGACATGAAGGCCACTCTCTTCAGCCGTCCCTCTGAGCGAGCAGTTCATTCGCTGGTGGAGGGGACTGCATGTCTGACTCGCTTCTTAGAAATGCACTTGGTCCAAGGGCCGAGCAAGGCTCAGGTTAGTGAGGTGCTGGTGATGAGGAATTAGAGGCTGTCGGCTTGTTGCAGACGGCAAGTGGTCCCACCCATCGCCTCCGGGGATCTTTACTGCAAGCTGGCTGTTTTGTTCTGTCCTGACTTGGGGGCATGGGGCAGACACCCGGCCTTGTACGGCCCAGGGTAACCTTGGAGGTGAGAGTTTTAACTGCTTGCTATTCGACTTCCATGGGGAGCCCCGAGATTTTGGTTAAATACGTCTGAGGGGACCCTGGCCCTCTTCTCTTCAAACTCACCAGGTGACTCTAGTGGGCAGTGAGGTGGGGACCTTGGGCCACCGAGACCTGTAAGCCTTGTATGATGCGTGTGCCGCCCGAGGCCCGTGGCCAGTGAGTCCTGAGTGGCGGCTGCCCATCATCCGAGGGCCAAGTCCTGCCGCAGAGCTTTCCTTCACCCCAGGGGTCCCCAGAACAGCCTGGGGGAGCTTGGAGGAGTCCCTGGGCCCAGGATGCCCCTGAGACACCTCGCTTGAACTTTGAAGTGAGGACCTCGGGGAGTCCCAGGGCAGCTGCGCTGGAGGACCGGCGCCCCTGCGCTTGCTCGTGCAATCCATGGTTCCCTTCCGTCTGCAGAGCCAGGGGCAGGCATGGCACCCCAATGAAGAACTTTCAGCAGGCACCTAAGCTGTGAAGATTCATCTCCGTTTTACCTCATGAGGTGACAGAAGTGGTGTCCATGGAGCACGGTCATAGGGCCGCCTTAGGGATAATCTGAAGGGGGCATCCATGAGGACGGCAGCCTGTCACACGTGTTGTCAGCACCCCCGACTCCGTGTCCTGAGGCCGGGGCTGAGGCTGGGCTGTGGGCCAGGCCGCAGGGACTGACCGAGGGGGAACCAGTGGACTGGCCGTCAGCACGGGTGCAGGACAGAGGGTGAGCTTTGCAATCTGGCCCACCGGGGCCATAAGATGCAAACACTGCCTCCTGGGACCCCCTCTCCAGACCAGCCACAGAGATCTCCCCCCCGCCCCCCGCCCCCCGCTGGGAGCTCCGCCCTCTCAGGGTCGGAAGCTTCGACAAGCCCCCTTGCACCTTTCTGAACAGACGGGGCAAGAAACGCAACCTTAAGAGAATCTGGCAACTGGATTTCAAGCAGGAAAACGGACATCCAAAGGAGAAGCAACAGCTTGAATAGTTTTTGCTGTTTTATTATGTTATAGTAAACTATTTCAAATTACAAAAATACTAGGATTTAACTGCTACCATCCGACTGGGGCCAGGCACCCTCCCTTGCCCATCACCTGTTTCCTGGCCAATGAAAGTGACATGGAATGTGCATCATTGCTTCCCGGAGCCGAACACACATCTGACGAAAATACTGACATTCTGTAGCGAACTAAGAATAAGTGATTTAATGATGATGGCCTCAAATTGCAGGTTCTTAGGGATGCCGTCTAATCATCTCACTAGTCATTTTAAAATTCCTGGTGGGGACACCGCATCTCCAAGGGGGACCTGGGGACCTAAGCCCGCTGAAGTCCCTGGTATAAAGGGGCAGGCAGCCTGGGGACCTGACTCAGCGGGTCTCCGGGGCGTGGGTGGGGGTGGGGAGGGCTGGCTGCAGTTCCCACTGCCGCCACCGGGAGCGCACTTTCTACCTCCTCCTGCCTCCGGCCTCCGCCCCCTTTCCAACCCCACTCCGAGTCCTAGACCAACCCCCGGCCTCCCCAGGGTCAGGTACTGCCCGCCTGCCCTCTGCTGTCCCAGGGCTCGGCCGACGCGGCTCGTCTAGCGCTTGTCACGTTGCTCTACGTTCAGTATTTGTGAGTCTGTTTGCTGTGCTCTATGGTCAGTGCCTTGGGATCAGGGGTGATGTTTTGTTTATTTTTATGTCTTCCGTACCTTTGCTGGGCTGGCTGGTGCAGGGGCTCAAGAGCAGGTGAGAACGTGACGGAAGGGGCTTGGGTAGAGTGTGTATTTCCACTGAGACAAGACACGAGGTGGTGGGACACACCCACGGGCCGGGAAGTTCTCGGCAGTGTTTCTTCCCGGGTGAAAGGGCGGGAGGGGGCTGGCGAGGTGTGTGTGGGACGCCACCGCTGCCAGGCCAGGTTGCGGGCACACGCAGATCGGAATAAACGTGAGCGGCCCGCCCACCCGGCTCCTCCTCCTATGACAGAGGCATCTTTTTTTAAGAAGAAAAAATATTTTTTTCTTCTAATACACCTCTAGATGTTGCAAAGGCAGTGTCTTCAATTTCAAACTCAAATGTCTTATTGGCCACTTGAATGCCACCCGCTACATAACGTCCTCTTTACTGCCTGCCACCTGTACAATGTGTCCACAATGTGCCGTAAGTAGCGGCCTGATCCTTTTATTGCCGCAGGACTATGGGTGCACGAGGGGGGAACTTTGAGAACAGCTTACCAAGGAAGAATAAAGTACCCTTTGAACAAAAAAAAAAAATTTGGAAGTGAAATAAACATACATTTATCTTCTATGAGTAGCCTAAACTAATATTTTGGGGGGGGGGAGGGAAAGGTTAAATGAGCTTTAAGCACAGCTTCATTTCTGCAGTCTGTGCATTCTGCAGTCCCCCCCTGGCCCTCCAAACACTTGAAGGATTTCCTGGGATTCAACTCGGGGGGGATGGGCTCTTGCCTGACCTTTTGCATCCTGGTTAAAGGCTACCGTCCTGGGGGCAGCTGCCGGGGCTACCCTGTGTCCTGTGCCGCACTGAACTGACGTGTGGGTGGGGAGGCCGGACCGGGCTTTGCAAACAGTGGAATGCAAAAGTAAACAAGGGAATCTGACGCGTACAGTCAGGAGACACTGGCCAACCAGCAGAGAGTAAGTACCGTGGAGACGTTTGTATAAAAGTCAGTGTCACGAGGCATCCTAGCCCTTCTGGTCCCTCCTGGCCCAGAGAGGGGTCCGAGTGGCTTGTCCTCTGCACCTGCCGTGACCGGAGCCCGTGCCCGTCAGGCCGGCTCGGCTCGCGGAGGCCTTCTTGTCTGAGCTGCCTGGCAGTGGAAGCGTCTGGAAGCAGCAGAGCCAGTGCGTGGATCGAGTGCCAGCTGGGAGAGGGGCCCTTGCTTCTCGGTCCCCGCTGGGCTCCGTCCACGCAGGGCAGCAGGTGAGAGGGACACGGACCAGCTTCCTCCTCGTCGGAAACACCCGTTCAGAGCCAACAACGACAACCAAACCCCAAGGTCCCCAAGCAATAACGCTCCGTATACATGTAGATTTTTTTCCCCCTCAAATATACCTCATTGTAAAGTGAACTTCGGTCCGATGGGCAGCGTTCTTTCCTGGACGCCTGGCACCAGCGCCTCCCAGGTTGGGGACAAAGGATGTCCCTGCGGCTTCCCAGAGTGCATCGGAGTGGGGGCACTTCCCGGTGGAAAGAGGAGTTGATCAGAGCAGAGACGGCCAAACCAGTCCCGAGGTCCAGGACGCGTGGGGGCACGGCCGTGGGGATGGGCGTGGCGGTGCCGCCGGTCCTGGGGGCCGAGGAGTCTGGGGTTGTTTCCGCTGTCGCTGCCTCCATGGTCATGCCCCAATGGACTCACTGCTCGGGGCGCCTGCCCTCAGGTAGTCCGCATTTTCCGCCGTCGGCCCCTTAAAGATGCCGTTGGACTTGGCTTCCCTGGGGAAGAAGTCCTGCTGGTAGTCGGGGTTGTCCAGGCTGATTTGGTGGCCGCCTTTCTGCCCCCAGAGGGTGGGGCCGTCGGGGACGCCGTTGACGGCGGGGGGAGGGGCGGTGTTGAGATACTCGGGGTTGCCCACGGCGTTGCTGTGGGGGTTCTGGTAGTGGGGGTCTCGGCCCGGAGCCAGGTTGAGGGGCTGGTTGTGGTAGACGGGGTTCTGGACGGAGCCCGCCGGCCGTTTGGGGATCAGCTGGTTTATGTATTCTGAAACGGAGAAGACATCGGACAGTGTCAGCAAGGGACCCTGCAGGCAGACCACCACGGCTCGTTCTGGAGCCGGAGAATGTTCTTCGGTGTTGAGACCGGTGACGGGGGTGGGGGTGGGGTGGGGGGTGGGGGAACCTGGGGAGACGACCGTGCTGCTGTCGCTGCAAAGCAAGCCGTGTCCTTCGAGCCTGGATGTCTCAAAGCAGCGGGCACGGTTGTCTTCCGCCCGCGCCCAGTTCTAAGAGGGCGGCCTGCCCTGGGGGGTGGGTGTGTGCAGGCAGGTGGGGGCGTGTCTGGGAAAAAGCCTACAGCAAAATAATCCACGGTTCGCAGGCAAGAATGGACGGAGGCGAGAAAACGGAGATCAAATCTACCCCATGCACACACGCACACCTGTGCACACATGCATACCTGTGCACACACAGCCACACACAATGCTCACACACTCACAATACTCACACGCCCTCTCACACACGTACATCTGAGCGGTTTGCTTCAAAGCCTAGAGAATCAGCAGGTTCATTGCAAAACCGAAGCTCCAGCCGAACCCCTGGACACGCCACGTGCTCACGGCCCACGCCACGCGTGCTGGGCTCTGTCGGCTTGGTGGTGCGCTGTTCCTCTGCACCCCCCCCCCGCCCCTGCTCGGCGCCTGAAAATGTGCCGCCGCCTCCCCCTCGCGGTCGGCCCGGGGGCAGCCGCCGGCCAGGACGCTGGGGCTGGAGGCCTCCGAGCGCGGCTGGCTTGGGGGCGAGCCACGGACCTGGCGCCGGGAGGAACGTGCCGTTGATGATGTCCTCGGTCAGGGCGCCGGTGGGGTCGGAGCTGTACCGCTGCAGGGAGCTGTCTTCCTTCAGGGGGCAGCTCTGCTGGGGGGCGGGAGGCGAGGTCACGTTAGTCAGGGCCCCTCGGGCGGCGGCCTGTGGGGTCATCTGAGGTCAGGGCGGACTCTGACGCGGCAGGTCGGGGGCGGGGCGCGAGGCTGCGCATTTCTAGCACCGAGACCGCTGGGCGAGGGGCGGGGTCCCCTTCGGCGACGCCCAGCGGCCCGCCTGCAGGGGCCTCTGGTCTGTGCTCCTCGATCCGGCAGCCACGGCCGCACGTGAGAGGCAGTGCACGTGAGTTGCATGTAATTGTAGTCAGTGAATACGCAGGGTGGGCAGCGGCACGCGGCCTGCAGCGTCCACCTGGTCGGGGAGCATCTACACCGAGGCTCCCCGCCTTAGGGCACCGGCACCATCTGCAGGGCATCACGCTTCACGGTCTGGGGCCGCCGCCCCGCGACTTGCACGGGCCACCGACCGCCAGGGGAGGCCGGGGCTGCCGGTCCGTGGGCCCCATTCTGAACGGCTCCGCAGTGCAGTGAGGCCTCCGTGCGGGCCGCGGGGCGGCGGCCGAGGAGCCGTGCCCCAGGGAAGAAACGACACGGCCAGGAAGACCAGGGCTCTCTCTCTGGGGGAGTCTGGGCATTCTCTTTTCTCTCTTTTTTTTATCCTTACCCGAGGACATTGTATTTTCTCATTGCTTTTAGAGAGAGAGGAAGGGAGAGAGAGAAACATCGATGCAACTGATCAGTTGCCTCCCCTGCGCTCCAGACCGAGGATGGAACCCACAGCCTAGGTAAGTGCCCTGACGGGGAATGGAACCCATGACCCCTCGGCCTCGGGGTGACACTCCAACCAACTGCGCCACACCGGCCAGGGCGATCGGGGCACTGTTCTGTGTGTAACAGAGCCACGCCTCCGTGCTGCCCCCGGGTTCCGGGTCCCTGGTTTGCATACGTACCCCGTTCCTGTCAACACAAGCCGCGGTGGAGCTGCTGCTGGTGGCACTCTGAAAGGGAAGCGAGGGTGTTTACAGGACGCTTGCACACCTCGCCCGCTTCGCTGAGTGTGCAAGGAGCATCTCACGGAGTGGAGACAGGCAAAGGTGCTTATTTTCGCCCGGACCCACTAGCTGCCGAAAAACCCGGCTTAGTTCCGAGTGAACCCCAGCCCTTGGGGAGCCTCGGAAGGTTCCGACCCCGCCGTCGCGAAGCCGTGAGACAGCAGACGCACTGAATGGGTTCGTTCCGAGTCCGGCTTCGCCGTTTGGTGAACATGCACCTCTCGGTCTCTGGGCGAGTTCCACTGGACGGGGACCCCTTTCTCGGGAACCCCGGGCGCCCAAACCGGGAGCCACAGCGTGAGAGTGAAGCGGCTCACCAGGGAGCCCAGCAGGGGCGTGCGCGAGGGCGAGGTGCCGTGGAAGAAGGCCTGCTGGGGGATGAGGTACTCGTCTGCGTCCACCACGTCCTCCATGTCCTCCTCGTCCATCAGCGCGCGGTAGAAGTTGGAGTCCGTGGGGCTGGGCAGGTGCATCCTCTCATCGCCCTGGGGCAGGGGTTGGAGACCGTCAGTGAGGCCCGGCGGGCTGTCCTGGGCTTCCTGGCCGGGGGCGGGGGACGGCGGTCTCTGCGGGCAGGCGCTGCAGCCGTGAGCCCGCGGACCAGTCCGCGGGGTGCTGAGCCGTGGGTTTTGCACGCGTATCCCAGTGCGTCTTAAACAGCGCCCCTGAGCTTGGTTTGGTTAGCCTGAGTCCACGGGGCACGGTGACTTGCGGCGCTCGCGACAGGGACTTTCCCCGATGGGCGGCGAGCAGGCGGGGGGGGGGCGAGTGGGGGGGGTCAGGGTACCTGGATGACGAGGTAGCGCTGGGGGTCGCGGGCCATCTTGGAGAACTCGTGGATCAGCTCCCGGAACTTGGGGCGGCTGTCCGCGTCTATCATCCAGCCTGGAGAAGGCGGGAGGGAAAAGGGCGCAGTGAGAAGCCTGAGAGGGCGTGAGGACGGCACCGCCGGAAGCCAGCGTCCGTGGTGAGACCCGCTGAGACCAGTGCGTGCCGAGGAACCCTGCGCTTGGAAAAGGACCCTCCGGCCCGGGCCAGGGAGCACCGCCCTGTCTGAAGGCCCTCACGCCAGGACAGCTGGGGATCCGAGGGGCACTCACGCCCCTGCTCTCTCTGCGCCTGCTCTTCCGAGAGCCGGCGCCCCGGCGCTATCCCCTCCGGTGCCCACCGGTGACCCGGTCGCCTTGTCACGCCCGTTGCTTCTTGGGACCTGTGCTGAGGGTCGGGGCTCTGGCGTCAAGCCATCCAGCGACAGCCAGCCTCATCTACGGTCACTCGGCAAGCTTGCAAGTCTGAAACCGGATTCCGTTTAGGGGAATTTAGGGACTTTCTCTAAGAACCTCGGGACTTGGGATTTCCCCTCCCTGGGGCTGTCTTTAGAGCACGTACCCGGGAGTCCCATGTGCCAGGGCGGGGCGCGGCGGGGGTTCAGGGCCCTCCCGAGGGGGACGTTCTCGTTAGCCAGTGCTTTCCGGCACACGGCCCCCCGGGCTGCATTAACAAGCTGGAGGAGCAGCTGTGAGCTGGAAATCCTCGTGCCTCTCGGGGTTCATCGTTACTTCCTCCCAGTGGGATGTCAGGCTATTTTAGGCCCGGCTGGGAGGTGACCTCAGACCAGTCACAACCCTCTCAGAATCCCAGCTTCTTCCACCCCCCGAGCAAGGAAGTTAAACCAGGAGAGCTGCAGCTCAAAGTTTGCAGAGGCATTGACAGGGACCCTGACTTTGCTCCCTGGGCCGGCCCTGTGGTCCCTTCCTGTGGGGACGCTCGGCACCCGTGTCCTGTCACCTCCAGGGCCCCTGGACGGGGGCTTCCGGGGCAGTCCCGGCATCAGCCAGGCCACGCACTCCGACCTGGATTGAGATGTTTACTCGCTACACTGGAGTGAGACCTCACGTAAACCCGCCCTCTGAGAGGTTCAAATCACAGCAGAAATGTTGATTCTACGAGCCTCGTGTGGTTACTCATTATTAGGCATTTAAAAACATCCAGTCTCTCTGGTAACAGAATGTGGGTTGGCTTTTCCCTGGAGCGACTCACCCTCGAGTATTTCTGTGTCGGGGCTTAGGGAGGACTTTGACTCTGTTTATTTGCTTCCTACCACGGGCAAATGCCAGGTCACCAGTGCCCAGTGAGTCAGGCTCGGGCTTCCCGAGAAATGTCTGAGGGGGGCAGTGACAGATGTCGCTGGGCTTGAGTGCCCGCCATAAAGAATGTGACAGCAGCCCTGGCTGGTGTGGCTCAGCGGTTGAGTGCCAGCCTGCACGCCAAAGGGTCACTGGTTCGATTCCCAGTCAGGGCACGTGCCTGGGTTGCAGGCCAGGTCCCCAGTGGGGGTGCACGAGAGGCAGCTGCACATTGCTGTTTCTTTCCCTTTTTTTTCCCCTCCCTTCTCTCTCTCTGAGAATAAATAAATACCATCTTTAAAAAAAAAGAATGTGACGGCATTTTGCGGGGTTAGGATCTAAGGCCTCCACTGTTGGCTAAGGGCGGCAAGCCCTTTCCAGGCACAGCGAGTCTGGCCGAGGTCCAGTTACGCGAGGGCCACGGCCACGGCGGTCACTCACACTTGACCATGATCATGTAGACGTCGATGGTGCAGATGGGCGGCTGCGGGAGGCGCTCTCCTTTCTCCAGCACGGTCGAGATCTCGCTCGCCGGGATCCCGTCGTACGGCTTGGACCCGAAGGTCATCAGCTCCCAGACGGTCACCCCTGGGAGGATGAAGTGGTGGCCACACTGTGAGTTGACAATCACGACCCCCTGTCCTTAGTCATCGCGGTGGATGCCGCTCCTAAGGTTCAAAACACCTAGGTTCCACGGTCTGGGGCGGCCTCGGTTTACCTCTCTGTAAAGTGGGACGTTGAGAGGGTGCATCTCCTCACATGGCTGTGAGGGTCAAAGAGGCAGCACGAGGGAATGCCCAGTCAACCCCAGGCGCACAGCCAGGGGCCACGCGAACGGCATGAACGTTGTTTCCGGGGCGGGGGACACCCCCAGACAGTGGCCCCGAGCGACCCGGAGGAGGAAGTACGGGTGTGACAAACAAGGGTAGAAACCGGGTGTTCAGACAAGAGAAAAATGAGAAACAAAAACTCCCCTATGTCCTGTTGGTAAACACGAAAAGCCCAAACTTTTTTTTGGTGTTTCAGAATCGAACATCGTGATTAAAAAACAAATCCAAGCAGCATTAACTTGAGAGTGAGTGTTGTTTTTAGACCGTGTCCCAGGCTCACGGTCTCCCCACCTCTGAGCCTCTGTGCCTGGCATTCCGTGCTCTGGAAACAAACCGGCACCCCAGGGAGCCTGGTCCCCCCCCCAACCCCGCCCCGGACAGGAAGGCGCCCTGCGGTGCCACTCGAGACGACCCTGGTGGGACCGAGCTGGGGCCCCCCGACTCCACACGGAGGGGTCAGACACAGGCTGGGCCTGCTCTCCGGTGGGGCCCGTGACCCCTCCCCTTCAGAGCGGGTTCCCAGATCCAGACGGTCACAAGTCTGCTGGATCTCCAGCGGCCGTTCCCAGACGAGTGACCGGAGCTGACACCCCGAATGCAGGGCTGGGACGAGGAGAAAAGCAACGGGCCAGGGGCCAGGAAAGGGGTCCTTTGGTCCTTTGCTGCTGCCGCCTCGTCGACACGGACTCGGTGCAGGAAAAGCAGTCTCCTTCCCGGATGGAGGAGACCCATGAATTCTCGTCTACGTGGTCTGAGCGCCGTGTCTCCACGGGCGCGTGGAATCCCCGTGGCGAGGCACGCTTTCCAGGACTGGGGCAAACGGCGAAGGGGCGTGCGTGCACCTGGCTGTGGCGGTGAGTGGGGCTGGGCGGTGGGGTGAATGCTCTGTCTTCCCCCTCCTCAGTGGGGCACACAGGTGCCCCGTTCATTAACACACTTGGCCTTGACCGGACACCAGAGCGTGAAGTCACAGGGTGTGCCCTTCACACGAACACTTCAGGCTCACGACCTGACAATCCCAGCGCGCGGTGGATTTCTATCGCTGACGACACGATTTCCAGCAAAATGGAAACCGCGCACCCGCTGCCGCGATGCTGAAGTTCTGCTCCTGGCTGTACCCTTTCCAAGGCATTGGGTTGCTGAACTGAAGAGTTTCTGGTGACTGGGCACAGACAGGTGGGCCTCGTGTGAGCTGTGGGTGGGCAGGGGCGGGGGGTGCCGGGTGGGGAGCGGGACATGGACAGGGACGCAGCCCGGGAGGCTGGAGAGGCGGGAAGCGCCAGGGCATCCCTCCGCCAGTCCACGGGTCCTGGCCGGGAGCTCGGATGTTACTGGGGACGTGCTGGGGAGCCAGAGAAGGTGTCACGTGGAGAAGGACAAGCCTCATGCGGTTAGAGACACATTCTGCCTGCTTGGGGCTAGAGGAGAGTGGCGAAGCGGGAAGCGGGGAGACCCCCGGGGCTCCTGCTGTGGTCTGACCGAGGTCTGGGGGGGTGTCGATGAGGAGGACCCAGGGCAGGGTCCAGGACTGGGGGGAAAGCCCTTCTGTCCACCTGTCTGCAGGAGTAGACTTATCTGGAAAGTGACTGAAAAGAACAAGGCATCAGAAGAGCCTAATTTCCTCATCTCGTTTGCTAATCCCACGCCGCTCAGCCCCCCAGTCCCTGCGAAAATCCACCTATTTTCACACGGACCGGACCTCTGCCTTTGTGACGCCGGCCCTGTCTCATCGCAGAGACAGACAGGGACCCGTGATGTTAAAAAAGTGCAGTTGGAGCCCTGGCTGGCGTAGCTCAGTGGATTGAGCGTGGGCTGGGAACCAAAGAGTCCCAGGTTCGATTCCCAGCCAGGGTACATTCCTGGGTTGCAGGCCAGAACCCCCAGCAACTGCACATTGATGTTTCTCTCTCTCTCTCTCTCTCTCTCTCTCTCTCTCTCCCTCCCTTCCCTCTCTAAAAATAAATAAATAAAATCTTAAAAAAAAAGTGCAGTTGGAGATACTAGGAAGTTGACGATGCTGTGAAAAAACATACTCCGTGGACACTGCCCTGAATGACTTTGGTTTTGTGATGATGCCTAGATTCCTCTTGGAAGTTCCTCTCAATACGGTTCTCCCCAAATACACATTTCTACGGAGGTGGGGCGACCCCTCCCGTTCACCCCCATTGCTTCCGCAGCTGGGGACAGACCGACAAGTCACAAGCAAACAGAGGCAACCTTTCAGCAGAGGCTGGGTGACTTGTGAGGCTGCCGCGGGGTGGCCACAGCGCTGAAGGCGCCCAGCACAGCGGTGGTCGGAACGCTGTAGTGACACTCCCTTCAAAGGCGGGGCTCAGGAAGCCCAAGGACAGGGGCGAGAGGGCAAGGAGGCCTCTGGAGGGCGCTGGAGGAGGGGCAGTGCTGGGGACAGTGCTCAGGCCTGTGCAGGGACAGTGGGACCCGCAGGGGGTGGGGTGCGGAGCGGGTGGGTTCATGGGGGGTAGTGGGATTCGGAGCGGGGTGGTGTGCAGAGGGGGTGGCCTTTCCAGGGGGTGGGATTTTCGGGGGGATCAGTGAAGTCGGGGAGCCACACGGACCTCCCGTTTCTGCTGTCTCCCAAAACATCCTCCCGGGGGGCCCTTCGCTCAAGCCGCTCTCTCTAAGACACAGGGCTCAGAACCCTCCCCTCCGTGAAGTGCCGGCCCCCGAGTCCATCAGCACCGAACCTCATGTCCCCACTGCAGCCCCGTCCCCCGTGGAGCCCCCTCGGCCGCCCCCTCCTGCTCCCTTCGGATCCACGGCAAGAGGGGGCATGTGGTTTGATCTCACAGACGCAGGCGTTTCCCAAGTCCAAGATGTCTCTCTCCCCCTGTTGTCCACACCCTCCCCCCCCCACAAGTTCCCTGACATCCGGTGGTGTTGAGTGTGATACTTAGACTCCATTTCCTGTGTCATGTTTTCTTAGCACAAAAGACACACAGCAGCTGTTGGGTCGCTGTTAGTCATTGTCTCGGACGAGCACGCTGGGGGGGGCAGCGCGGGAAACGTAACTCGGCCAGCAGTGCGGGCCCGCGCGGCCCCAGGACAAGGCCACGGGCCCCCGCCCCTGGACTCACCGTAGCTCCAGACGTCACTCTGGTGGGTATAGATCCGGTGCAAGATAGACTCCAAAGCCATCCACTTGATGGGCACCTTGGGATCATGAGAGACAACATGAATAGGCAACAATTAGCTTCCCTCTGCTGGGAAACATTAAGCCACGCTGGGACACACGATGAGTGACCCACGTTGGGGAGCCAGGCCCCCCCACCCCCGCCCACCCCGTCCCCTGGCCCAGTGCTGTCCCGGCGGGAGGAGCAGTCGCACTATCATGTCAGGGCCCCGAGCTGGCGGCCGAGGGCCTCTGGTCGGGGTGTGTCCCGCAGGACTGGGGGCTCGTGTTGGCAGCTGGGGACCTGGTCGTGCCCTATGGTCCCATCCGCCCCGTGCGTGGGGGCGCTTGCTGGGGCCGTGCAGGCCAGAGTGAGACTGAAGAGGGGTGTGGCTGATCCAGAGAGCATTCTGGAAGGCCTGACAGGAGAGCCGTGCGCCGCCCCGCTTGGGCAGACACCCCTGGAGAGCCCCGAAACCTGTGCGAGAGGAGGGACTGCACTCCACCTCGCTGATTGGTACCCGGCGTGCGTCACAGCCGCCCTCGGGGTGTCTGGGGACACCTCGGACCTCTCCGCATTGCTGACACCTTCTCAGCGGCGGCGGCCACCAACCAGCAGCGCGTCTCCCAGCGGTCTCCCTGAAGGGGGCGCTCTCCCGCAGGGGGCGGCTGAAACCTCACCCCGGCCAACCGGACACGGAGCTGAGCCCGCTACTGCCTTCGATTCCCTGGATGCGCCAGAAACATCCGCACTCTCTCGCCCAGCAAACCCTGACCCCAAGCTGCCCGGCCTTCACGGACAGCAGGCCCTAGCTAGACCCAGGTGTTGGCGGCAGGGGCTGTCATGTCCCCCGGAACGTCCTGAGGATGTCCCCCACGTCAGCAGCCAGTCAGCGGGGGGACGTGCTCCCGGGTCCGAGCCGGGCCCTCACCTTGCCTCCCTCTGCGTGGTACTCTTTCTCCTCCGCGCCCAGCAGCTTGGCCAGCCCGAAGTCCGTGATCTTGACGTGCTGCGGCGTCTTCACCAGGACATTCCTGGCCGCCAGGTCCCGGTGCACCAGGCGCCGGTCCTCCAGGTAGTTCATGCCCTGAAACCCAGGGCCGTGCCGCGCGGTGAGCGCCACCAGCTGCCGACTCGCGGGCCCTCCCCCAGCCTGGCGATGCCCGAGGTTCAGCCCCAGAGGGACCGAGCGGGGGAGGACGGTCTCGGGGCGGGAGCTGCCCACCGGGCTGCCACCTGGCTGGCCTCCGGGCCCTGCGCTGAGCGCGGCCGAGCCGGGCGGCGGGCGGGCGGACAGAGGCTGCCCGGCGGTGCCCTGCAGGCTCGCTCCCGGCTGAGCGGCCCTCCCAGTCTCACTGCCAGTGCAGAAGGTCTGTCCGAGTTTATTCTCGCTCATTATAAATGGAAGCCACATGGCTACCGAACTGGCTTCTGCAGGGTGCCGTGCCCTGCGCCCTCCCTGGCGGTCGGAATCCCTGCTGCACGAGAAACTGAGAAACACAGCTGAGAATCCTCCAGTGCGGGGCCTTCCCGGGCTGTCACCCAGAAACCCGGCCCTCGCCTCGCCTCGCCCTCCAGCTGGCAGGTGGGGCCCTCCTGGCCTCCTCCCCTGCCTTCCTCTCGGCCTGCCTCCCTTTGTCCTACCGAGCTCCAGGCTGTCGACGTGGCCGGCAGCCCTCCCCTCTGTGCAGGGCCAGGTGGCAGGAGGGGCAGGCCGTGGGGGAGGGTCCGGCCCCGCAGACCCCTCCCACTCCCCCACCCAGGCACCCCTCCGCCTGCAGCCAGGACAGGGGACATTGTTTCCCCCTTCCCTCTAGGGCTGATACTTGAGGACTCTCCAGCACAGAGTAGGCACCGTGGGAACGCCACCTGAGGTGCGTGAGAAGGATGCTCGTGGGTTGGACCAGCCCCTTGTCACTCACTCGCGTGTCTGCGGCTGTGGTGGGGGCCCGTCGGGTCCATTTGGGTGCAACAGTCGGGACTCAATCCCCCACCCCAATTTCCTGGCAAATGCTTTGCTTTCTTCCACAGAGGTATGAGGTGAAAATGATTAGTTAGCTTGTCACAGCAGAGTGAAACTGAAAATAATGTTCTTTCTGGCCCCAGCTGGCGTAGCTCAGTGGATTGAGCTCGGGCTGCAAACCAAAGCATCGCAGGTTCGATTCCCAGTCAGGGCGCATGCCTGGGTTGCAGGCCACGGCCCCCAGCAACCGCACATTGATGTTTCTCTCTCTCTCTCCCTCCCTCCCTTCCCTCTCTAAAAGTAAATAAATAAATAAAAATCTTAAAAAAAAGGAATTAAAAAAATAATGTTCTTTCTGGAGCAAAACTAGCCATCCCACCAGACTCGAATCAGTCGAGGGCTCTTTTCAGGGCCTTTCACGTTTTTCTTTGCTTTGGAAAGAAATGATGGATTCCCCCGTCTCCCCTCTCCCTGGTGTGACCCCGAAAGGTCCCGGATGAGCGTTGAAGGTGCTGCTGGACTGAAAGGCGTCCCTTCCCAAGAGGTCCCAGGTGCTGGGGAAGCAGACGGACCGGGCTCAGGTCCGCTCAGGAGGCAGCCGGAGCGGGTCTTCTCTGGACCGGCGCATCCACACGGGGGTGGGGGGGTGCCTGTTCAGGGACGGTGCGTGGGGAGGGAGAGCGTGGGGGTGGGGGCAGAGGCTGAGGAGATGCGTCTGAACACAGGGCTGACTGGCTGCTCCCTGTCCCCTCCCTGGGGAGCCCCCTTCCCCGGGGAGCCTCCTGCCACGGGCTCCGTCTCCCCGTTGAGCCCTGGGGCCGATGAGGATGTGTGCTCGGTCCCCTGTCTCTTATGAAAGAGGAATTTCTGTGTTTTTAAACAGGATGGACTCGCCCGTTCAAAAAGGGTTAGTTATGCTCGGTGCCTTGCCGGGTTGGGCGCAAAGTCTGCGTTCCCTCAGTGTTCTCCCCTCTCTCTCCTTCCTCCTCCCCTTCTTCCTCCCTCCCCTCCTTTCTCTGTCCCCCTGGCCCACTCTCGCGCCTTCCACCCTGTTGCTCTTCCACGGCCTCAGCGCGAGTTTCCGGCCGACAGCCCCGTGGGAGCTCCTGCGTGGGTGCTGAGCCAGGATCCACCAGGTCCCTGCCTGCAGAAACCTGTGACCCTGTCCCTTCGTTCAGAGTTCCCGGTGTTCCGGTGAGTGCGCTGAGCCCACGAGGAGGGCTCCGGAGGGTGCTTCCGGCCGCACTCCATGGCCCTCACGCCTGTCCTGTCCACCTCTGTGAGGCCCGGCAGAGGGTCTGGTGAGACACTGGACGTGTTTCCACAAAACTTGGCTGGAGAATGAACGGACGGATAAGTGATAATCGCAGCTGGCAGCTTGGGACACTCTGGATGTGCCAGGCATTTCAAGCCTGTTCTAGAAGGTTCTGGAAGTCCTGGCAGCCGCATGGCTGCCCTGAGAGCTGACCCAGAAAGTCCAGGGACTGGGATGCTTCACAGACCGAGTCCTCTGTGCCCCCCAGACCACCATCGGGGCCGTGTCCTGAATTTCCGGCCGGGGCCTCCAGGGGACACTGGCTTGCTGGCCCAAAGGCTGCTTGGGATGTGAAAAAAAACAAAACGAAACAAAACCCAAACCAAACCGAGACAAGGACGAACTGCCCGGCCCGTTGGCCCGGAGCCGCTGAGCAAGTCCATGTGCAAACCTAATAAATGGAGCTGAATTCCACCCCACCCTACTCCTCGCCCGCAGGCCCTTAAAGGACCAGAGCACTCTGGGCGAACTGGGACGTTTTCTCAGCAGCAGGCTTGGGAAAGGGGAGGGAAGGGCAGTTTCCAGATTCTGGGGCCACAGCGAACCAGCCCAGAGCGCCTGGAATCAGAGATAATTCCGGGACGCGGAGATTAGACTCCTTTGAAGTTAGATAAGGCGATATTCCTCGGTCTGTGTCCCACACTCCAGAGGCACTCTGAAAGGCCACCTCGGTGCCCGGCAGGGTTACACTTTAACCAGCCACCGAAGATAAGACATCGCTCGTGAACTCCCAGGGGCTCCGCGGAGACGCTGCCGGAAGCGGTATGGGCAGCTCCTCCGCGGGGCCCTGCGGGAAACTCATTTCCTGACGCGAGACCCTGACTCCAGTTTAGCTCAGCGCATTTATTTTTGTTAACTCCTGCAGCACGGCGAGGACGGATCTTGAAATACTGAGGTTCAAGGGTCTCTGACTGACGCGCCAACCTAGAGCCTGAACGCACAAAAGCAGCCCCGGGACACGCTCCCCACGACAGGGAGGTTCTTTCCGCAGGGTGGCTGCGCCGGACACTTCGGGGTCCGTCCCCGGGGGGCTGCCACATCCTGCGGCTCTCGGGGGGAGTCCGGAGTGAGACAGACCAGCCCGTGGAAAAGTCGGGGTGCATGCATTGACACAGTGGCTGGGCGAGTGGCAGAAAGTGCAACTCGGACAGCGTCCCCACGGCCGAGCCCTGTCCTCAGGGGAGGCGGGACGGCGTCCGAGTGTCCTCCTGCGGCCAGAGATCGTGGGGCACTGACATCCTACTATGCGGGGACAGGAGGCCGGCTGGGCTCGCCGGCCTGTGGGCTCCACCCGGGGCCGAGAGGTCGAGCGAGTGAGGATGAAGGGTGTGGAGCAGGGCTGCCTGGCGTCAGATGCTGGGCGCGCTGCTGGCCAGCCTGGGGCCGTGGCCAGACCCTTCGCTGCCCCATGCCTCAGTTTCCCCACGATAAAGTGGACTTGGAGAAGGAGTCCTCTGAACTCTGTCTTTCGGGAAGTTGGTCCTCACTCAGTTTCATCTTGCGGATGCAACTGAGCAGAGTCTGGTGCTGACGAGGCTGTGGCCGGAGAATGACAGCCAGATAGAAGTCGCCTTCTGAGACCTTCCCGCTGCTTGGCCACCTCTCGTCACCCTTCACCAGGGTCCACTCTCAACGGTTTGAACCTTCTGTCGCCTGTCTGGAAGCCCAGCTCTGTGAGGTCGTCATCCGGGTCGGGTCCAAGAGGTGTGGGGACGCTGTCTGAGCCACCGCCTAGGCAGCTTAATGTATCGCAGAACTTTGTAACAAGGTGGCTGCGGTGTCTGCAGAGACATGTGTGACGCCGTAGAACTGTTTTCCGAACTTCGGTGACGGGAGGCTCTTTCTGGATGAAAACGTTGTACGACCTGGCCCTGCCTCCTAAGACAGTCTGGGATTTAGGAGCTGGCTGGCGGAGCCAGAAGGAGTTGGATATGTTCTCTGAAGTCCCTGAGTCACTTCTGGTAAGTGACAGACACTCATGACCTCAAGAGCCAGGAGTTCAGCAACCTAGGCCCTTCCGAGGGGCAGGCGGGTAGGTGGCGCTTCGGCGAGCTCTGGAGAGCGGAGAGCGAGGCTGTAAGGTGGCGGACGGAAGCCCTTTCCGCCCTCGGCAGCCAGGGGCGTGGGTTCCTGCTGCACCCTGAGCCCTGCCCCCACTGCCTCCCCCGCCAGCTCTATTTTTTCCCCACCCTTTTGCCCCGCTGAGACGATTTTATTTGTCCTCTTGGCAGTGTAGCCAGGACAATCGACCAGCCTTCCCGCAATATTTAGGCAACGTCCCAAGACGGCCCCCCGCCCCGGTGAAGCCGCAGAGGACGTTTACGAGTCCGTGAATCCCGCTGCTGCGAACAGGCCAGGGGTGCCGTGCCTGGCCGGCCACTGAGTGTTTCTGGGTAGTTGGTTTCACTGAAGCCTTCCACAGAGAAAACTGTTCACTACTTGGATACATAGTCCCGAACCCCGGAGCCCGTTTCTCTCTTCGAGGCTGAGAAAACGACGGCTTTCCTACCCCCGCTGGGGGCGGGCGCTCCTCGCTGCAGCTACTGGGGCTCAGCGCCTCTTGGGAGAGTAAACGGGTCGTCAGGCCCAAGCGCCACCTGTGAGAGGACTTCAGCGCAAAGCCACGCTCCACAGGGCACACCAGGGGGCTTCACTAAGAGGCCGACTTTGCGAGTGACATCCCATACAGAGAGAACCAGCTTGGGAAACATTTGGGCCCAGGACATGCAGCTCGGGACCTGCGGCGACCCCCCACCGGACTGGACCCTGGTGCCGGGGTTGGGGTGGGGCGCTGAGTCCATCCCTGTTGCGGGCACTGCCATTTTTAGGGGACACTGCTCTAAGCAGGTGCAGGACTAGCCAGAAACTGGTGTTTCCGGTCCGATTTCAGTCATCACACCCACCCAGTCTGCCCACCTTCTGGGGAAAGACGCAGAGGCTGGCAGGTGTCACCCCCGTACCTGGGCAGACAGGTGGCAGAATCCCACTACAGCCAAGAGACTTGGTGCAAACACACAGAGCCACCTTCCTGAGCTGCCCCCCGCCGCCCCCTCTTGCCCCCCCCCACCCCCCCGCAGATGAGTGTCGGAACCAGGATTTAACCCTGCACCCAACCAGCCCACCTCCCGGAATCGTCAGTGCAGCTCTGCCTCGGGCACTGCGACCCACCACGTGACAAGTCACTTTTGGGGAGCTGTGGATCCACACGAGATAATTAGGGAACAGTGCGAACCAGCTGGTGGGCGTGGCCTTAGGGTCCGCTCACACAGAGCCCCCCTCCCAGTGGGGGTGGGCGGGCACAAGCCGCTGCACACAAGAAAACACACACCTTCCCTCCCGGCAAGCGTCCTGCGCTCCAAGGAAAATAAACCAAGGTCCTGGGGACCGCCGGGGAGGTCGGGCGTGGCCTTTGCGTTCCTGCTGCCGGGCGGCAGGGACCGGAGCCGGGGAGGAGTTTTCGGGGTGGGGAGTCAGGACACGGCCAGACAGACCCTCAGCAGCAGTTCTCGGCTCACTCAAGCCCCCTCGGAACTACCCCCTCCTCCCCCTGGGTGGCCACGGCTGCGGGCTGAGTAGTGTCCCCCAAATTCCACGTTGACCCGCAACTTCAGAGGGTGACCTGATCTGAACCTAAGGTTTCACAAACTGAATGAACTCATCCTGGATTCAGGGATGGCTGCCATCCTTCAGAAGAAAGGAGAGGGCAGTCCGGACACACACACACGCACACACACACACACGGACGACTCCACAGGTGGCGCGGCAGAAGCACCTGTCAGTCCCCCCCTGCCCCGCTCACCGGGCCTTGCGCCCAGCGCCTGCCCCACCCACAAAGCCACCAGGCCCCCAGTCCTCCTTCTAGCCTGAGCTCGGTGTGCTGGCCTTGGCACCAAGTCCCACGCGGGGAACAGATGTCCCCGATCCTACAAGTTACCAGATTACCGAGGAACCCCAGACAAATAAGAGCCCTAACACCCAACCATCCCGAGCATCCAACGGAGAGACAACTGTTCACATGCAGCTGGGTAACGAGACGTTCAGCGCGCAGTGGGACAGGCCCTGCTTGGACGCAGAAGACAATTCAATGTCATCCAAAAGAAAGTGTGGCTCTTGCTAACAATCGCACGCCCCCTGGAGCTAAGGCACCGGGCAGCCGAGGAGGCTGTGGGGTCCGGCCGTTCATGGCGTGTGCCCTCCCGGGCAGGTGACCCCAGACGTACCTTGGCGATCTGCACACACCAGTTGAGCAGGTACTGGGAGCCGATGTTGTCCTTGTGCTCGCGGACGTAGTCCAGCAGGCAGCCGAAGGGCATGAGCTGGGTGATGAGCTGCACGGTGGAGGTCAGGCAGATGCCCAGCAGGCGGCACGCGTGGGGGTGGTCCACGCTGGCCATCACGTAGGCCTCCTGTGAGGACGAGAGGACGGGGCGGCATCAGCGAGGCTCCCCGCGGGGCTGCGGGGAGAGGCCCGCAGACCCCGCTCCAGGGCAGAAAGCACGAGCATGATTTGGAGTTTGAAAGTGTGTCCGCGGAGGGGCGGGGGAAGCTGACCCACGAGACGGAGACGGGCATTTCCGCGGGGCCTGTTATGCAGCAGGCTGTGAAACCGAGCTGGTACCTGCGTCAGGGCGCATGCAGACTCCCCTCTCCGGGGAGCCCTGCGTGGCGTTCGCCGCCAGCAAAACACCGGCTGAGAGAGAGACCCCAGGTCCCGAATGTGGGCGGTGCCGAGGGCGACGGAGGAATCCCTCCGCCTCAAGGCTACGAGGCTGCTGGTTCAGATGCCGGGGGGGACCCCTGGCTAGGCATAGGCACCGCACAGGTGGGGCGGCGGGAGCTCCAGCGGAGGCCGCCCGAGCCAGCAGGTGGCGAGGGGGACTTCCGGTCTCAGCAGAGCGCTCCGCGCCCCTGCCTGGGCCGTGGGAACTGCCCTGGTGTCCGGGCCGCCTCTGTCCAGTGGAGCTGAAGAAGCCCTTTCCGGGTGCCCGTCTCCGGCTCCGGAAGGGACAGAGGGCATTGAGTCTACCCGGATACCAAACTCAGCTGGCTGCCCAGGACTCACCGTGAAGGGGGTGGGGGGAGGCCTGCGTGGCCCCTGCCTGAGTGTTAGGGCACAACCATGCTGCTCTGCAAAAGGCACCCCTGCCCCCTGAAGTCGGCTGGCCGACAGGCAGGAGTCTAGGAGGCAGGTCAGCACACTGAGACTTGGACCCCCTGCTATTCCTGGGCAGAGGAAGCTGCTTTGTTTACGACCCTGCACAGAGCAAGGCCCCCTCTTCTGCCCGAGAGAGCACCAGGGGGTCCTCCGGGATTTCCACCCACCCATCCTGCCTCTTTCCCTTTAAAACGCACAGGGCGGCGGCTTTCTCTGGGGCTGTGAAAGGGCCCACATGGTCTGCAGGACACAGTCCAGGGGCTCCGCTGCTCTGTGCCTCTCCGGCGCCGCTCCTGCAGGGAGAGGGCAGCCGGCTCTCTGCACAAGCGAGGGCCTCAACCCCCTTTCCCTGGTCTCGCCAACCCTGGGCTCAGCCCGGGACCTTGAATTTGAGCCCCTCTGGTCCTCCTGCCCAGTTCCGGCCACCCTCCCTCAGCCACCCCTCACCCCTACCCCCACCCCAGGGGCCGGCCTGGGTCTGTTCCCTCTGCCTCCCATCCCCACCCCCCTTACTCCTCTCAGGAGGCCTCCCTGACCCCTAATCTGAGTTAAACTCCCCCGGCATCTCCCACTTTTCCTTGGGGGAGCAGGCTCGGCACAGCCTGGAAGCCGAAAGTTACAGATGCAAACTCTCCGGCCTCCCTGAGCTGCAGGGAGGCGGGGCCCAGCGATCGGTGGTGGGAACCCGGGGCTTCCGAGCACTCCCCAGGAGACGTGCCGACACATCTGCGTGACCCCGAACACCTCCTCCTCCCCCCAGCCCTCCCCCTGCCTGCTCCACCCCCACCCCCACCCTGCACACCCTCTCTGGGGCCTGCACACCCGCTCCAGGGCCACGCCCAGAGCCCCACCCGGACCGCAGGGCCAGACGCCGGTTATTTATTGCCTCGACTTCCCCTGCAAGTGCTGACTCAGCGAGCGCGGTCAGCACTTTGGCGGGAGTGCCTGGCTCTTTCTTTCTCTTTTCCCTCCAGCGGCGCCCGCCGTCCAGGCACGGAGCCGCCTCGGAAAGGGCAGGGTGGGACGGCACTGCGACCTGGCAAAGCCCGGAGCCCGGAGCAGAGCCCAGGCCACGCGCCTCCCGGGAACAGCCACAGAGAGGCTGCAGGTGTGCCCCTGGTGGCGGCCTCTCATTCGGGTGCGTTCCTGAGTGGCTCGGCTCTCTCCTGGCAAGTACAGTCTGCACTTCTGTTCACTTAATTTTCTAAAAACTTAATCCTCACCCGAGGAATGTTCACTGATTTGAGAGAGAGAGGGGGAGAGAGGGAGAGAGAGGGAGAGAGAGAGACAGAGACAGGGAGACATCACTGTGAGAGGGGAGCACTGATCGGTTGCCTCCAAAGACACCCAGACCAGGGATCGAACCCACAACCTAGGTCTGTGCCCTGACTGGGAATCAAACCCGCAACCTTTTGGTGTGCGGGGCCACACTCCAATCAGCCAAGCCACCCAGCCAGGGCGGAGTCTGCATTTCTTTTCTCTTATCTTGTGGACCTATCACCACCACGCTAAAGAGTAGATGTTTCACACTCAGGGACATTCGAACACCCCGTCACCTTTGAGAAGGACTATTTATGAAAAGCGAGAACTGGCGAGGCCTGAGAATACCTTTCCTCGGAGGCCGCTGTTTGCCCGACGAGGGAACGGAGGCCCAGCGAAGTGAATGGCCGGCCGGGGACCCCGATTCCCAGCGTCCGGCCAAGTGCTCCGGCTGAAGCTCTACCAGAAAACCCTGGCCGCTGGGGCACACGCAGCACGTACATAAATCTGTTTTGCATTCTCTTTCCGTGGCCGGCCCTAAGTTTACACTGGAAAGCCCATGGAAAAATTAATAGGCCGCGGGACTGCCAGAGAAGCACAAATCACGCCCTCCCCCGAGTCTGGGAACCGGGACAACCATAACACCGAAGCAATCCTCTGGCGGCTCCCGCGTTCTCAGGGTCTGGCTGGGCTTTGGGAACATATTGTATTCATTGCGGAGGGGAGAAAAATCTGCCACCGGAGCGGTCTGAGCGGCCCATCTGCGGTGGGGCCGGCGAGGACCGGCCGGCCCGGGGCCTGGGAATCAGGGAACAGAGTGTGGCTGTGGGTGTCGGGCCACACAGAGCCTGGCGCCGCGCCAGGTCCCCGATCGCGGTAGAATCTGATGGAGCAACAGAACCGGGCCGCCACTTCCGCCGCACCCTCCAGGCACAAAGGGGCCGCTGCCGGGTCACGTGTCCTGTTCTGCACGCAGAAGTTGAAGTGAGCTTTGTTCTGGGCTGTTTATTTTGGAGTCCCGGAGGTTCGGTGACCCACGGCAAGCATGCCTGGTATTCCGCGGCGATCTCCGCACTGGCTGCAGCCCCGACAGGCGCGGGCCAAGCCCGCACCCCGGGGCCCGAGGGCAGGTGCCTCGCTCACGTGGCGCAGGTGTGGGCCTCTCTGGGGCCTGGGGACCGTGAAAGTCTGTGATTGTGTCCCAGTTGCCAAAATGATTTCTGGTTCCTTCCTTCTTGCTTGCCGTCCCCCTCTGAGAACTATTTCATGTTAAGAGTTGGCAGAAAGGACTCCCCTGGAGGTTAAGCTCCTTCAGCAGGGGCGTGTCTGACCGGAGGGTCAAGGTTTCGCAGCCTGCCCAGTTAGCTGAGACTCCGAGAGCAAGGTCAGCAGAGGCCGCGAGGCTGCTGCGTCCGGGGCCTGACCGAGCGTGGACGAGAGAGAGAGGTCAGGCGAGGGGAACCACTCACCAGGTTGCATGAAGGTGCCCAGCCCCAGGGTGGGGGTGGGGGGCCTGTATCTTCTATCTCTCTGCCCCCAGAAAAGCAGATTTCCTCCACTTTTAGGGGTCCCGGGGGGCCCCTTTTCAGTGAAACCTGCTTCCTTCCCAAAGCATAGCTCTCGTCTTCAAGACTGCCCTTTCTCGGCATTGTAAACACTGCTGAAACTCGCGTCTCAACAGCCTTTCGTGAGATTTCTCAGAAGGCCCCGAGTGGGTGAACGGTGACTTAGGCGCGCCAGCTCGGTGGGGGTCTGGCGCTGCCAGGGACGCGCCTGCACGGACGTGTCCTCCGCTCTGCGCCTCTCGGCCGCGCTAACAGGAGCCGACACCGTGCTAACAGGACTTCACATTCATTAGGGAACCGTTGCAGCGAACGCCAGCTTTGTTTGATAAGGATGCCCTCAGCGCGGGAGGCTCTCGACGGCACTGGGTGAACCCGTCCTGTCCCATGAAGAGGTGGACAGGGGGCTGATCTGCCCCGAGGTGACAGGACGGCCCTGGGGAGCCCACCGTCCCCAAACACACCGAGAAAGGCCCCCGTTGGCTCGGCTGACTGTGCGTTCTGTGGGTGAGAGACCTGAGTGGGGACGCCCCATCTGAGCTTCATCCTTCCTGGCTGTAAGACGAACGGGCTGTCCTAGGTGTCTGAGTCCTTTTCCTGGAACTCTGCTTCCCTACCCCCCTGCCCAGTCCCTGCACCTCCGTGTTCACAGGCTCTGCCTTGGGACAAGAGCGAGAGGGTCCATGGACGCCCAGTGGGCAGAGGCTGTGACTCATACCGCCCTGGGGGGCAGTCCACTGGGGTCACCCTAGCCTCTGCTGGGAGAGGCCACTGCCAACCTCCAGGATGGCCGCTTGCAGCTGCCGCTGAGTCCGCAGCCCCTCACTGGCTAGGCAGGGGCCGCAGAGGGTGCAGAGAGTTTCGGAGCATCGAAAGTGTGGACAAAAGGGGGGCTGCATGCTGAACCCCATGAGCGCGGGGCAGGCCGGCGTGGTGGGACTGAAAGTAGCCAGTGAGGATGGACCAGACACAAAACCTCCTGACTTCCAGCGAGTCACGGCGGGCGGCCCCAAAGCCTCCCTGGCAGAGGTCAGCCTCCGCCTTAGGGAGGCTGCCCCTTGTCTCGAAATCCCTCCTCCGGATCCTTCCGGGCACAACCTCCCACCGAACAGGAGGGGGCCCCTCAGTGCTATCGTGTTGCTCAAGCACCACCTCCGCGTGCTGGAGACGGTAGTGCCCCGTCCTGCACCCAGAGGGTAAAGGAAGTGTGTGAAGGAAGTAAGTGTCTGTCTCTCCGTTTTACTTCGAATCCGATCCCTGAGATTCCCTGGCTCTGCTTTCCCCGCCCCCTGAATAAGCTGCCACCAATGGACCTCATGTCACTGCCCCCTCCGCGGCCTCCTCCGTGGATTCTAATGTATAAAATAAGTGGCCAAACTGCCCTCCCCTGGAGCACTTTCTCGGTCCCTTGAGAATGCTGCTTCCTGGCAACTGTCGTCAGTTCGGCTCCGATAAACTCAAAATAGTTCTCTGCAGCTTTGGACACTTTTGACGCCCACAAAAGTACAGACACAATCATCCATGGGGTGTCCCAGAGACCCCTCCCTCAAGGAACAATCTGAAGATGCAGAAGGAGAAGAGTGAAATTGTTCTGGGAGAAAACGCAGACGGTGGGCGACCGTTTGTAGAGCTAGCAGAGCACCCCACTGTTAGTGCTAGGCACCTTTAAAAAGTCATTTCAAAGATCAGCTACCTGCATGGAGCCAAGTGACCTCACCTTTCGGGGCCAGGAGGGACAGCGGCTGGAATCCCACCCTACCCCTGTGAGGCTGAGCAAGTTCTTTACGCCTCCGTTTCTTCATTGACAAAGTGTCCAGCCTCAACCTAGGCCAGAGCGCGCCAGGTGCGGCCATGTGCATGAGCAGCCCGTATGCAGACTGGCCCCGGTGGTTGCCTAGCGACTGTGAGTGAGTGCCCATCGTTGTCACGGAGATAACAGAGCAGAAGAGGTGAATCCTCTCCATCAGAGAAGGCCTGAGAGGGACTGACACCGACTACAGCCGGACTAAAACGGACATGAAAGGTGGCCCTTTAGTTTTTAGAACGTGGTGACGACAGACGTCTAACACAGAGCCACCAGAGAGTGGCTCCTGACACCCAGACCCGCGGACGACGCAGGTGGTCCCCAAGCCAGGACCACGGCAGAGACTCACGTCGAGAATCTCCTTGTTGGCTTTCGGAGACGTGGCTTCTCTCAACTCCTTGATGGCCACAGGGATTTTGACCTTCTCGCCCTCGGGGATCCAGAGTCCCTAGGGTGGAGAGAGAGAGGGCGGACGTGAACTGGCAGTCATTGTGCCATGCCCCGTGGGGCGTCATTAGTGACCTTGTCCACCAGGGGCCAGGGACTGGGAGCTCAGCTCCGCACGCCCAGGCCCCGGTGCTGGGAGTCACCAGGGCGCAGCAGCCCTGTAGCTATCAGGTCCCATGGATCAGAACAGTCAGATAAACGCCGGAAGCTCGTGACAGTGATACAATTGGCATGTGTCACTTCTCCCAGAACTCTCAGATACGAGGTCCAACAGAAATTGGGCTTCGTGCAAAGAGGGCCTAGAAAAACTGAATGGATTAAGGGGGAGCTGTTCTGACCTGGGCTTTAGTTGGATGCCGGCTGTCCCGGAGACCCCTCTGTGCTACCCACCCCTCCAAGAGGTCACCGCCACCCTCTGTAGACATGTCTGTGTGCGAGTCTCCCAGGACGACTTATTTGTCACTGTGACGAGAGAAGAGTTCCTCTGGACAACCTGGGAGAAATGCTGGAGCTTCCCAAACCCTCGCGGACACGAGCAGCCGGTGACATCAGCAAGGGGCAGCTGGGGACTCCGGGCTGCTCGCCCAGAGCGGGGGACGGGCGGGAGAGGGGGCGGGGCTGCCGACTGGAGTCCCCAGAAGCGTCGGTGCCGCGCCTCCGGCGGCCTCACCTTGTACACGGTGCCGAAGGCGCCCGAGCCCAGCACCTTGATCTTCTTGAATTCTGTCTCCTTTAGGATCCGCAGGAGAGCTTGGTTGGGCGCTTCTCCGCTGGGCGTGAGGGGCTCCACGAGCTGGAAGAGACCAGTGTGGGTGAACGCGGGAGGGGTCAGGTGGGGCCAGACACGCGGGGGCGGCCACCTTCTCTGAAGCCCTTCGTAAGAGCCGCCCCGGTTCCACAGACGCAGTTCCTATCGGTTTCTAGGCCAGCTGGTCGAACTGGGAACATTTGGGGGAGGCGCATGTTTATGTGGGGGGTCCTTTTGGTCTCTTGCCAGGCCCCCTAACACGCAAGCGCCACGATGCCACAGCGTCTGGGGTCTCTCCTCCCGAGAGTGGCTTCCGACACTGCTGGACCCAGGTGCCGGGTGAGGACCGTCCTGGGGATCCACAGCGTCAGGAATGACGCCGTTAGACGCAGAGCTCAGAAAGGAACAGCCGCCGCTGTGGACAAGGGCATTTTCCAAAGCTACTTCTCCTCGACCGCAGCGCCCTCCCGGGGAGTCAGCACGTGACTGTGCACAAGGCTTTGCCCTGTGCGTGGACGCGGGACGGTCCTGCCCGCAGGACTCCACGCATGTGTGCACCCATGCCGTGTGACTTCTCCCAGAAACACGTGCGTTTCACTGGGGAGAAGCACCGACGCGCGCCCCACTGGGTAACGGGATATGCAGGCAGAAAGCCTACGGATACAGCGACAAATGTGAAATGCAAAATGCCCAATGTCTGCACAGGAGAGTCCTTCTTCCGGTCTGGGGTAGTGGGGGTTCCTGGAAGGAGCAGGGGGCGGGGCCCGGGGGTCGGGGGCGGGGTCTGGGGGTCGTGCGCCCTCACCTCGCGCTCCTGCAGCAGCCTTCGCAGCGTGCGCTTCCGCACGATGTGGCGCCTGCGCATAAACAGGCCCACCCCGAGGGCCACCACCAGCACCAAGAGGAGGCCGCCCACAATCCCTGTGGCGATGGATGAGATCTTGGGCCTGGAACGGGGTGCAGACACATGGGAAGGTCAGATTTGTTGACAGGTTTCATGACATCTGCATGTTCCATATTCCCTGCATGCCTTGATAGCCTGACATTATGTAACACTCTCAGAAGGTGGAGTACCGTGCAGCTTCTAAAGGGGGGAGGACAGCTAAGGATTCTGGGCAGCATTTCTAGCTCCTGCCCCCACCCCCGCTGACTGGCTTCTTTGCAGTTTTTAAATGGAGGTGTTACCTGGACCTTTCCACACAATGGTTATTTTTTAATCTGTTAACAAAACACATTAATTCAAAAAGTAGCTCAGGCCCTGGCCGGTGTGGCTCAGTGGGTTAGAGCATTGTCCTGAACACCAAAAGGTCACCGGTTCGGTTCCCAGTCGGGTGGCACACCTAGGTTCTGGGTTCCACGCCCGGTTGGGGTGCATACGGGAGACAACTCATCGGCGTGTGTCTCTCACATCGATGTTTCTTTCTCTCTTTTTCTTTCCCTTCCTCTCTCTACAATCAATAAACATGTTTAACACCCCCACCCCCCCAAGTAACTCGGACTTCAGTAATGGTTTTCATGCAAATCTGCATGTGTCTCCGGAGTCTCTCGGGCCTAGGAACAGAGCACGCTGCCTGCGTGAGACATGCATTGTGTGCTGCCCGAGCTGGGTGAGGGGGTCTTGCACAGGTGCTGAGATTCCTCCAAGGGTCCTTGGCTTTCGAGATGGGCCCATGGCCACGTGACAGGCTTTAGCAAAGGGCTCAGGGGAGTTTATACCATGATAGGATTTCACACCGAAAGCCTCGAGGTCACAGATGAGGGCAGTCACCTCGAGGCCTGAAACCTCTCAGAGGTTGTGCCTGATTTCGGAGAGAGCAAAGGCTCACAGCTCCGGTTCTAAAGCTCACTGGGGAGACGGCCGTCTGAATGTGTCAGTCTGTGCATTTGGAGTACGCAGTTATTATTCGTATGTATCTATGCCATTTTAGCGTCCGGCAAACTTCATCTTTTCGGGTAGAAATGTTAACAAGTATCAAAGATGAATTAGTAGCATCACTTTATTGTAAAAAAGGGGGGCATTGTTCTTACAAATTTCTTGTAAGTGGGTCAGATTTACTTCATGAAAATGACATGGACGATCCCTTTCTTCTTGGCAAGAGCTGCCTCCTGCACTATCTCATCTCACCAGCCCATGCAGCTGGCATGAATGGGTTTTGACTATTTTGAAGGGAACGCTGAAATATATATAAATTGTTACAGACTACGTGTTCCGCTTCCAGTTATAGTGAGGGCGAGGCAATGGCGAGGGAATGAAAAAGAACACACGTGGCCAAGACCAGCCACCGCTGGTCCCAGTGGGGCGGTGATGGCGGTCCTCATTATTCAGATGCTCATTGTGGTTTGAGAAGAGGAGGAAGTTACTGTTCCCTCTTCGCTCAGTGAAGAGCGGAGGCACGGCAGGAAACCTTTACCTCGGGGAGACTGCCTGCTTTCTCGCCATGAATGTTCCCTCTGACTGCACAAGGGACCTGTCGTCATTGCTAAATCGGGGGGCAGAGCGGGGGGGGATCAGCTGACATGGAGAGAGGGATTCCGTAGGCATGACTGGAAGCTTGTGCTTGGGGCTATCGGGACGGCAAGCGGGGGGTCTAATTCCGATTCCCCTCTGGACGTTATAATCGATAATTCCGCTCTTTGCTGCGGAGGCTGCACAGGGCCCCCCGGCTCTGCTGGTGGCAGTGCAGCATTCCAGACAGCGGCGGCAAACCAGCCCGGACGGAAATGCTGGTGGAGGGCCCGTGGACAGAAGGCGGTTGGGGGTGTGTGGGGGGGGGGAATCTCCCCAGGTGGGAGTTCCGTCACTGAAGCACAGAAAGGTCCCCGAAGCACAGGTGTGTGACAGGGCCAGGGAGGAAGAGAAGCTAGAAGAAGAGGAGGGCCCAACCACACAGGTGCGACAGAAAGCCCACGGAAGGTGCAGAGGAGGAAGCACTGGGCGGGGAGCAGGCGCCCCGGCAGGACCAGCGCTGGGGTGCCGTGCTGGCCCGAGGGGGGGCCCTGACAGGGCGGGGTCGGGGGGGCGGTCAGCCAGGTGCCCAAGCACCACCTTTGCCCACCGTGCGCTGGGCTGTTTGGATCTAGCCCGTCAGACACGACGCGGCCTCACTTACCTATCTGGGCAGCCTTCCCGACCCGGGCCCGTGCAGCTGCAGGAGCGGAAAGAGAAATGCGCATGTCGATCCTTCTCTTCTCCAGCATTTTTTTTTTTTCTTGCAGACTTGTTACGAAATCACAACACACTCCGACCTTTTGCTCAGCCACAAGGCCGCCCCACTCTCGCCTGTCCTCTTGACGCAAGAGGAAGCTGCCGTGCAGGGTGGTTCACTAAGACGCCCCAGGTCGGACTTGGGTGACGACGGCCGGCAACCCATGTGCTTGCCTGCCTCTCAGTGTCATTAGCTCTCATTGTCTAGCACAAGGTCAAGTTCCTCTCAGCCCATTAAAGCTACAGAGCCCCTCAGCTCGGGCCGGTGGCTAATCATTTGTTTATTAAGCAGCATTCCAGGCCGTGTTATCTCCTATGGATCCCGGAACGACCCTAACGACTCCCCGATGAACCCCGGGCGCCTGGGAAACCAGGCGGACGCCTTGGGAGGCCGGGCAGGGCTACCCTGTCCTTCCACCTGTCACTCGCTCCGTCTGGGCTGGACGTGCGGGCGGACCCTGCAGGACACAGTCCTGTCAGGGTAAACTGCAGGAGGCCAAGAGGCGTCCCCACTGCCCGCCGGCACGTTCTCCCTGTGGCCCTGACCCCGGGGACCCTCTGAACCAGCCAACTCCGACGCAAAGTGCGTCGCGCACCACCTGGCAATTCTGGAGGTGGTCTCGATCTACGAATTGGCAAGACAGGAAAGCTTTTGCCTGTCAGCATTGTCTTTGCTGGGGGGGGGGGGCGGCGGCCTCACTCACCCGTAGGTGCAGTTCGGGTGGCACAGGTGGCATACGCGCTGGGCGTCCGCGAACTTCCAGACCAGAGTGTTGTTCTCGCCCAGGACCCCCGACGGGCAGGCGCTGACGCAGTGCGGGCCGTCGACGTAGTGGGCGCACTGCACACACCTGTCCGGGCCCTGCGCCGAGGGGGGGGCACACGTTCAGGGGGGCTCCTCCCTCTCCCCGAGGGCGGGGGCACCTTTGACCTTCCACGTGTCTCGTGAAGGAAAGCCGGACAATGTCGCAGTGCTTAGAGCAGAGCAGAGCGCGCGCCCGCGTGTGGCTGTGCTGGCTGGACGGGGCCGCGGGGAGCAGCTCAGCGTGGGGCCTCGCCGACGTGAGACACGTGTAAGACGCCAGACTGCGCGGTTTACCGCGTTTCGCTAGGGCCCCGTGGGCCCCTGGCCGTGTCGGAACGGTCTGGGTTGGCCTTCATGTGCATTGGCAGCCTGCCGGTCGGCTGACCGCCTTCCACGTCACACTGGGGGCTACAGGGAGGCTCGTGGGAAGCGGACGCGCCACGGAGAGTTTACACGAGCCCACGCCCGCGCAGGTCCGTGGGAGGACGGTGACGAGGAAGGGCAGCGGCGGCTGCCTCATCCGCGGTGGGACGTGGGGCGTTTCATTCTGCCACCCTGACTTCTCACCTACGCTCTATAATATAGACGGTGTCACCGAACCTGTAGCGATGACCCTGAGTTTGGAAAAGGTTCGCTAGGCCTTTCTTTAAGAATGCTCCGGAAATGGTGCACTCGTGCCGCCTGAGAGCATTGTGGTGTTTGATGAAGAGGATGTAGCAGTGCCGACAGGCGGGAGAAGCAGTGGGAGCAGGCACAGACGCCCGGCCCGGCCCACCCCGTGCTCCCCTGCTCCGTGGGAGAGCAGTCAGCGCTGTGTCTGAGGACATGGGGGGGCGGGGGGGCTGAGGCCTGGGCGGGGGCAGGAGGGGCGGGTGCTCAGGCCGGCGGGTCGTGTGAGGACTTTTCCGCGCAGTCACAGCCCCTGGGACCCAGGGTGACATGGCACAGCCTGTTGTCTGGGAAGAGGGCCCGGGTGGCTGCCGGGCCTCTCGGGTCTACAGCTCTGAAGGCTTTCCCCGGGGGACAGGTGGGCAACGAGAAAACGTGCTCCTTACGTGTCCCGTGCAGGTCACGTTCATGGGCTGCGGCAGGCACTCGGGATGGCACCGTATGCACTCGGAATTCTCCTCGAACTCCCTGGGCTCGCTGCGGCGGGGAGGGGGAGGGAAGAGAGTTCAGGGCCACCCCGAGCGAGCGCCCTGCGGCAGAATTTGGGTGGCTTCCAACTGTGGAGTCGGCCTGCCTGGCGGTGCAGCTGACACAAGTCACCTCTCTCGGGAAAGTCACAGCAGCGCTGGGTGGAGGTCAAGTGGTCAGGACCCGGGACTGCCCTGCGGGCTGCACCGTCCAGTGTTGCGTGAACACAGAACAGAAGTTAACCAGGGGATATAATTTGTATCAGTGGAGGCGGACACCCCAGGAGTGGCGCACCACAAAGGGCAGACGGAACGGCCCTGGCCTCGGCCGTCCACGCTGCTGATGGCGGGTCTATTTGTCCTGGGAACTCTGTGCCACTTAGAAAATTATACGGTCATTCCAGAAAGAGAGAGGCTGTAAATCGTTAGATTCCATTCAGTAGTGAAAAGAGTTTGCTCGTTTCCTTTTGTGATTAACAGGTGGCAACAAACAAACAAAAACAGAAGAAACAAAGGAAAAGATTCAAACTGAACGACTACAACCCCATAAAAACTATCCGACCCTAGGTCTCCTCTTCCTCCTCAAACAAAGGGAGTAAGAAACAGCGCCTCACCCCTCCAGAATGTTGCATTTCTCCACGCACTCCTTGTCGCGGCTGACGTTCCGGCAGGACCTGCAGTTCCGGGGCCCTGGGCCCCAGCAGCCCTCGGGCGAGCACAGCGGGTTGCAGACGTGGCCTTGAGCCCCTGAGGAGACAGCACAGTGGTCAGCGCGGACCAGGGACCAGGGGGACGTGCTGGGCTCTCTGGGCGTGTCCATGGGCGGAGCGCAAGGTGCCTTTCCCGGGGTGCGGGGGCACCTGGATAGGAGCTGGGCCCTGTCCTGCTGACCCAGGCCGCAGCTGATGCTGAAACAGTGGGTGGGGGAGGGAGGGCTTTGGCTGTGGTCGCTCGCCCCGTGTAGGTGGGCAGAAGGCCACGCACGGCACACTCAGAATCCCCTGTCGCTCTCTCAGCCGCACGCACGAGGTGGAGGGAATTGCTGTTCTCTCCGTCCTCAGGTCGGGGAGGCGGGGCCTAAAGGGAGGCGGGGCCTAAAGGGAGGCGGAGCCTAAAGGGAGGCGGGGAGACCGATGCAAGTCTCGGGGCTGGGAAGGACCAGAGCTGGGACGTGAGCTCGGATCAGCCTCCGCCCGGGGCCAGGCCTCAGCACGAGGGGGCGGCACCCGCCTTCGGCTCTGCACGCAGGACGGGAGAGGCCAACGTGAAATGCTGGTTCCCTCGCGTGCACACGTGAGTGCATGAGCGTGTCTGTGGGTGAGCCTCAGCCGCTGGACACCGAAACGGGCAGGCAGGAGCCCACACCTAAAAGGTCACCTAAGTCATGCCAAGGTTGGTTCTGCACGGGCCGACCACCCGGCAACCGACAGCGCCAGGCAACTCTGTCCTACGCGAGAGGAGAACGAGTTGGAAGCAAATCTGATGAACTCCCCACGGCAGGGTCACCGTGGGGCGCGTATGGATTTCCTTTCACCGGCTTCTTCCGGGAGGGACAAAGCGATGTCAATTTTGCAGGTGGCCCCGCGACATTCTGCCTCAAAACAAAAGGCCCGTGGGCGCGCGATCACACCGCAGCGGTGACTCACGGCAGTCTCTCCGGTCCCGGTTCTTCTCGATCTTGGTTTTCTGGCCCGGGGTCCCGAAGAGCGTCTTCCAGTTCACCGTGTCGGCGTAGCACAGGTGGCGGTTCCCCGAGATCACCACGTCGCCGTCGCTGACCTCCTTCAGCGCGCGCAGCCCCAGGGAGCTGATGTTCAGCCCGACCACCGCGAAGGAGAAGCGGCCGCTAGGTTGGGGGGGGGGGATAACATTGTAAACAACAACAACGACAACAACAACAACAAATTACAAAAACACAACAGCACTAAAAGATTTTATTTTTTTAGTTTTTCTGGGCCACTTTAGCTTTACTGCTTCCCAGGGACAAGTGCCAGGGCCAAAGGTGTGTATTGTGACTTTCGAAATTTCCAGGTGTCTTTTCAAGTCCCCCCCCTCCCCCCAGAGAAGCTAGTTCCTTGTTCCTTCAGAACCTTTAACCCCGGGGGCTGATTAAAGGCTGGACGAACGCCTTCATGTCATTATTTTATTTACCACACGTTGAGTTTGCCTGGGGATCCAGACCATGTTTCAACCTCTCAAACAACCAAACAGAGAGGCTTTGAGAGTCACGGGTTCATGATTGAGCGCGGGCTGTGAACCAAAGTGTCGCAGGTTCGATTCCCAATCAGGGCACAAGCCTGGGTTGCAGGCCACAGCCCCCAGCAAGTGTACATTGATGTTTCTCTCTCTCTCACTCTCTCTTTCTCCCTCCCTTCCCTCTCTAAAAATAAATAAATAAAATCTAAAATAAAAATAAAAGTAGCACAATATTTAAAAAAAAAGTCACGGGTTCAGGATCCCGCAGGCCCCTGCAGCATCTTCGCGATACTTCCGCACGCATATCTCAGTTTCTAAACGAAAGCACCAGGGAGGGCCCCCCAGGGGGCGGGCCCACTTACTGCTGCTTGGTCCTGCCGCGTATGATCTCCAGGTTCTCGAACGCGTGCAGGTCCGTCCTGTTCTCCGGCCAGGCCTGGATCAGCAGAGACCCTGGGAGGCGGAAGGGCGAGGCTCAGACGCGTGCTGCGTAGACGTCTCTTTTTCGTAGGGGGCGTTCTTAGAGGATTCCCGTGAGCAGGCAGGACACACGAGAATTTGACCTGATCCCCTTTATCGTCTTCGCCCAGTGTGTACACATGCGTGTAAATGCTGGCCAAGGGTTCAGGGTACTTCCTGCCCCTGTTGTAGAGCCCCCGCCGCTCACCCCACCCCACCCCATGGGTGGTCCCGGTGGGCTGCCCCCAGCGGGCCTGGCTGGGCTCCGCGTTTGAGGATTCCGAGCAGGCCCCTGATACCTGGGAGTAGCTGTGTATCGAGCTGTTATCATGAACAAGGACACGGACATAATTTTTTAATTTAATTCAAATGCCCAAAACGGTCTTGTCATTTAGGTTGAATTATTCCCTTTTTAGGAATGAAAGAAGCAGGGCTTTGATGGAAGTCATAGACCCTAGCAGCCTACCAGGGGCAGCAGGGCTGTGAGGGTCCCTCCCTCCCCAGTTTATCCCCTTCTCCCCCCACCCAGGAAAGTCACTGGGCCATGGGGACAGCTGGTCTGGGTGGGGGGGACAGCTGGCCTGGGTGGGGGGACGACAGGTTAATTGCACTCGCATGTAGAAGTCGTCCATGGCCTGCGTCTCTGTGTGCTGTGTTTGCCCCCCACGTGCAGGGGACAGTGACTGCGTCTTTGGAAAACATTCAAGAATTCAGGAGTCATTAACGGGAGAATTCCGGAAGAACGGTGTCCCACCAAAGGGGAAGTGAACTGGGCTCGATACACGTTGTCTCTAAGCCCTGCCTCCCCCCCCACCCCCCGACGGCCCTGCGCGTGGCGAGCGGCGCCCACCTGTGATCTCCTTGACGGTCTTGAGAATGTCCAGCTCCTTGGGGTCCAGAGGCTGCGTGTGTGTGAAGGAGTCGCTGAAACGAGGCACAGACAGGTTATTGTCCATCACCCGCCCCTACCGCGCAGCAACGCCGGGCGCAGCCCGCGGCGCAGCCCGCGACTCACCCCCTAAAGGCTACCGGCAGGATGTGGAGGTCGCCGCTGATGGACGTGCAGTTCCGGAAGTGTTTGATGTTCGTGGCGTTTACGGAGAGGGTGTCCTTGAACTCTCCGATGCCTATTCCGTTACAGACTGCGGGGACAGGGCAGGCGTTAACCCTGCTCACAGAGGCGCGCTGGCTGACTTACACACGGCTCTCGAGCGAGTGGGAGCGGAGAGAGCCGACCCTGCCGGACAGACTGCCGGTCCTTCACTCAACAGACAGACGGAGGAAAACGGGGGGGGACGGCTGGCGAGTGGCTCTCCGTGAACAAAGACTGCAGAGATGGGCATTCTAATGGCACCCACGAGGCTGGGTTGAATTCTGGGGGGAAATCAGCAAAACCTGACGTCCTGGGACGGTGGGGAGAAGTGCAGGTTCCCCTGAACGCCGGGGTGGGGGGGGGCCGTGGGCCAGCGCAAACCTGAGGTCACCGGGGAGCTGTCTGTCGTTGGTTACTGTCCGGTTTGTGGGGAAAGGAAGCGGACATAGGTCGGGGTGCAAAATGTGGTAAGATCGGCGACCCTCACCTGGTGCGGGGGGAAAGCGCACACACACACACACACACACACACGCACGCACGTCACGCAGACACGGAGGCAGCGAAGGCGATGTGGCAAAGCAGGAGAGCTGGGTGAATTTACGGGAAGGGCGCACGCGTGCTCACTGTGCTAGTGACACGCTGTCTGGAGGTATTCCAAAATGTTCAAAATAAGCAACAAAGGGTAAGGGCTGATGACCGGGCCCTGAGGGTGCTCCCGGGTCAGGGCATGGTTATAGAGGAAAGAACAGATTTCTGAGCCCGGAGAAAGGGGTCGACTCCAGTCGTGCCTAAGGGCTGCCCAGGAGCCGGCAGGCGCAGAAGGACCAGCCCTGCGCCCTTGGGGAGATCCCCCTCTTCGACACTGGGCTCCTACCTTTGCGACAGGGACCTTCGCACTTTTTACACTTGCGGACGCCGTCTTCCTCCACCTCGTAGCTGTCGGAGCCGCAGGCCCGCACACACGACCCGTGGTCGGTCACCACGTAGTTGCCTGCGGGGGTGGGGGACAGGGGGAGGCAGGTGCTGACAGCGGCACCAGGTGTCTGGGGCGTGCGTGTCCTCCCCACACGGGGCCGACGACAAGGGCCCCGCGTTCCCTCGTTCTGTTTGGTTTCAGCACAAAGAATAAAAGGCTGCACACTCAAAAGGAGTCAACCTCAAGAGTTTTTTTAATAGCTTTCCAGACCGAGGTGTGGAAAAGAGGGATATTTCGTCACGGGCGGGCAGCAGGTGTGGGAGGGAGGGAACACTGTGCCTGCTCCCAAGCGTCCAGCGCCTCTTCACGGCTTTTTAGAAAAGTCACCTGTCTGTAGGTCTTACTTTCAGGACTCGTGGTTAACGCTTGAATCCTTATTAAAAATACGTGACCCTAAACAAAGACCACCCTCTTCCATCAACGCTGCTACCCCGAGGTTCCGTTTCATTCCTGGGGCGGCCGCTGGGCGCCCTGCGGCCGGCGGGGTGCTCGGGCCAGCTGGACACATCCATCCCCTCCTTGCCTCCCTCTGCCCTGGCGGTGATGTGCTGGTGTCAATATTAACACAGACATCAGCACCCTCAGGAGCCCTCTGGGTCCCTGCTTCGGCCCTCCCGAGCAGGTGTTCACACAGAGCCCCTGCGTGTGTGTCTGTCATTTTCCCGGTGACTGGTCTGCGTCTGTCCTCTCGGGCTGTGGGTGCTTCCCCAGGGTCCTGCCCAGCCACCTGGTGGTCCCTCTCTCAGAGGGTACATCTGGGTCACCGCGGTGACACCTTTTTCTTTATCTTTGTCATCTGCCCCGCACTGGCTTATTGCTCTGTTTGTGTATTATTATTTTTTTCCTGCACAGAATTTAAAATGTTTCCTCTCCGCTCCTCTGGTAGGGCACCTCTCCCTTGGTCGTTGTTTTTAGACATTGTTTTTCTTCATTCACCTCCCCTGCCCCGCCTGAGAAATCAAGATCAATCTGTAATGCTCGTCTGCTCGACGGCCCTGTGCTTTTTCTATGAGGACGTCATCGGTGTCAGCGTTACTGCAAATGCTGTCACCGCCAGCGCACTGCAAGTACGGGTGAGCACAACCCAGTCATTAAAACAAAACAACAAATAAACAAAAGCCCTCTACGGTTCTCCTAAGCGCACAGCTTTCCCCAGAATCATTTCCCCTCAAGAAGGCAGGTCTTCCGACGCACTCCCCAGTGTAGGTTGTTAAACACCAGTTTCGGACAACAGACAGACAGTGAGGGACCCAACGGCCATTGGTTTGCGCCCATTGGACAGCTGACTGTTCTGGACCCCCCCAGCTGGACCTCAGTTCGGGGGGCCACACCCCAGGGGTGTGTCCTGCTCTGGCTGCCCCGGCACGAGGCGCCCGGTGAGCAGAGCGGCGGCCACCACTGTCACCTGCGGCAGCGACTTACTCCCCGTCCGCCCTCCGCGGGCCCCGGGGACGTGCCTGGCGATGCAGCAGACACACCAGCCCGAGCTGGGGCCTCACGGGCTCCCGCGGGGGACGCGGGGAACCTCGGCCTGACCCCGAGAGGGTTTCGCGTGTGACGGACTCACGGGGACACTTCTTCACACAGGTGGCTCCGAAGCTGTACTTCCCGTCCGGGTTGACGTCCACCTGGTACGTGGTGGGGTTGTACAGCATGAGCGGCGGGCAGGTGTCCTTGCACGTGGCTTCGTCCCGGAACTTCCGGCACACCTGGGTGAGAGGGGGTACGAGTGGGGACGTGATACACGGCGGAGCCTGGGCCACCACCCAGGGGGATGGCTTTGTGGGTCTTCTACCTCGAACCTTGGTGCTGTTCGGTAGGGCGCCGCACCTTTGGGTGGGGCCCGATGCAGCCTGGTGTCCCAAAGGACCATGAGCCAAGATGACAGGGAAGTAGACGTTAGGACTAGGGCCCGCACCTCACGACCCCAGGGGGACGCCCACCGTGGCTGGGGTGCGGGTGGGGGGAGGCAGCACCCGGCACCCGCAGGCTCGCCACCAGGGGGAGGGGGCCCCGGGGAGGGGGTCTCACCAGACAGTCGCTCTCGCGGGGCCCCGTGCAGCCGGACGCACACTGGTTGTGGCAGCAGTCGCTGGGGGACTTGCCCCGGCAGCGCCCCGAACACTGCTGGGCGCAGATGATTTTGGTCACTGGGAAGGAGCAGAGGTCGCGGGTGAGCGGAAGAGCCAGGGTGACGGACAGTCACGCCCCGGGGACCATGGAGGGCGCCTGCCCACAGTGGGCGAGGAAGGGACCGGAAGGCGGGACTCCGTGAGTCCTCGGCGTGTTCAAGTCCCCAGACAGGCCCGTTGGGCCAGATGCCGTCGGACTGTGACCTTTCTTTCTGGTCCCTCTGCTTTGTTTCCTGTTTGTTTTTAACCACTTGGGAGGACTGACCAGGTCAAGCCTGGACGTTAAGACCTGCTAAATAATTAGATACTAGTGATTAAACAAATTCATTGGGTTTCTGGGTGACACAAAAATGACAAAAATGCCAGCCAGGAGACGGGGTTTAAGGGGACGTGGTGGTCACATCACGTCATGGCCAGATGGTCCGTTAAGGACGGCGGTCAGCCGTTGGGCTGCCGTGTCCCCAGACTCCTCGGCCATCCGAGCTCCGGCACTCGGCGTCCGGCAGAAAAACCCTCCCCAGAAAGGTGCTCAAACGTGGGTGCAGGTGGGTCCCCAGGCGAGGGGGAACGGGTGGCCAGACCGGCCTTGCGTCCCCAGGGGGATCTACCAAACGTGCTGACCGGCGGGAGTGACCGGCAGCCTCGGCCGACGCACTCCTGTTTACGGCTGACCGCCCCAAAGAGCCGACCCGGCGTGTTGGCCGCGGGGAGGCTGGCAGCACCGGCCGCCCACAGGTCTGCCGGGGTCTGGCCCTGCGCCGGGACCCCGGTGCTTCTGGGAGCCCTCGACGGGCCAGCCAACGCCAGCGGCTCAGTGCGAGGGGAGGGGGCCCTCGAGTGTGTGTCTGAGGGTCTGCTCGCGCAACTCACGTTTCTGGCAGTTTTCCTTCCCCGCGCCCCAGCAGCTCCCGTTGGGGCAGCTCAGATCGCACTTGGGGCCTGAAACAGAGGAGTGGTCGTTCACACCTCAGCGACGGGGAGCGCACCAGGAGACACCGGCGACACCCTCCCCGAGCCCGGGAGCACAGAGCAGTGCTCCAGGAAGGAGGAATAGCGTCCACGTTTCTTATTCTCTGCTGTTCTGTTCGGCTGGTCTGTCTGTGGGAGGAGTTGAGAGACTCTCACAAGAAAAAAAAAAAGCTGCACCGCAGGCTGCTTTGATTTCCACGTCGGCCTTGGAAGCAGAGGCAGAGAGAGGTCAGTGACTTCACAGCCCACGGGACTGGGATTTAAATGGACTGGGGGGGGGTGTCCAGACTTCAAGTTGGCCTAGGTGTGGAGAATTTTCCAGCAGCCCCTCAACAACGCTGAGAGTGTCTACCGTGTTGGGGTCAGCACGCACCCACTGCAGCCTGGCCGTGTCCACTCGTGGGGTGTGGGGTGGGCCAGTCGTCCTGGGGAGTTGGGGTCCAGGAAGTAAAAGCTCCCGGGTTCTTAGCCAGAGAGAGGCATGGACCCCTGTTCCAAGGGCCGGGCATCCTCGGTGAGCCTCACTTTGTGGGGGAACTAAACCCCCAGCTATTGATCTGCACGCTACCGTCTGAAAACATTTCCAACGGATCGATCAAATTTGTAGTTTTCACAGTCAATGGTCGACCGCAAATTACAGCTGCAGAGGTGTTGGATCTCGTTAGCTGCATTTTGCTTTTATCGGCCTTGGGAAATCTGAAGGTTGCAGTGCCCTGTCTGTGGACAGAGAGCAGGCGGACCACCCGGTTTGGCAACGAGGGGCCCGCCCACCTGTGATGACCCAGTCCCCTCAAGGAGTCAGTACATGCCCACAGTCTCCCACAGCTGGGGAGACTTTCGCTTCTGGAAGAATTCAGATGTCAAACAGGGAAGAGCTGATGACACACCAAGGACGGTGGACCCAGGACACCCCGTGAGGAGGACTGACACTGTTTACAGCCGCCCCCGGGGTGAGGGGCATGGACGCAACGCTGGTGCGCCTCAGAATCCTGCGAGACGGTGAGGCTGGACCCTAAGTGGACAGGGCTGTGAAGGAAGGGGCTGAGACAGGCCGAGGGAGAAAGGAACCCAGAGAAGAGATGGCCCGTGTAACACGGAGGAATGTTCAAAGTGACTGTCTGTACAGAGCTACTGTATTACATTTTATCTCCACCATAGTTTTTGAGTTTCTACTATGTGCACATGATAGGTTTACAAGAGAAGCACTGAAGATAATGATGCTTAATGGCATCTTTCTGAAATGCTTTCTGAGAAAAGCATTTGCAGACCAGTGAATTCACGTCCTGCCCCCAGTCCTGGTCTGTCTCAAGCAGGTCTCTTCCAGGGGGCAGATCCTGCCCCTTCCTGTCACTGCCCCTTCTTGCCCTTGGGGAAGGGGACCCCGTGCTAACGGGGCCTTCTCTCCCAGCACCCAGCCCTCCCGGCTCCGCCCCACCCGGCCCTGCCCAGCCCCGCCCGGCCCTGGCCGACCACCACGCACAGCTGCTGGATGGGTTGCTCTGAAAGTCCGTGGACATGTTGCCCAGGAAGCTGGCGTCGACGATGTCCTGCCACTGGACGGTGTCCACGCTGCAGAGGCTGGGGTTGTTGCTGAATCGCACGGCGCCATGCAGGATCTCTGCGCGAGAAAGGACCCCCCCGCCCCCGTGAGCACGCGGCGGCGGCGTCTCCGCTGAGCTCACGCGAGGCAGGCATGCGTTTCTTTCCAGGCTGCCGCCTGCTAGGAAGGTTCCGGCGAGCACTGGAGCGCCGCCCCCACTCCCCACCCCCGGACTTCAGTGCGGGCGGGTGGGAAACGAGTTTGGGATTGAGCACAGGGGAGTTCGGACTCCCCCTGAATCGGGCCTTCGAACCACAAAGGATCAGGATGTAGAACTTGGGCAGGGAAGGAAGAGAGCGCCCGAGTGGGCAGGCACAGCCTAATGCCGGGCGTGCGGTGAAATTCTCCTTCCCAGGCGGCCGACCCAGGCTGCCCTGGGACCACCGCAGGATGTGGATTCGAAGGGGCAGATGGGGCACGAAGGGTGACGGCCATCGCCAGCACCATGGGCGGGGGGTGCCGGGTGCAGGCGGTGATGCTCGAGCTGCCTTTGGAACCATTCACGGGACAGGGGCGTCCCAGGATCAAGAAGAATCTGTGTGTCTGATGGTGACAGGATGGGGCGCGCCCCGGGGATGCAGAGGATGTGCGGGAGTGAACGAGTGTTTCCGAGCAAGGAGTGGGAGGGGGTGAAACATCGGGGGCGGTGACGAAGCCCCCGGCCAGGGCAAAGGGTGAGTGTGGCGGCAGCACCGACGTGGAATGTAACAGGTGCTGAGAAGTGTCACAGGTACCGGATGAATTCAGTGCACAAGACACTGCAGCCAGTGCCGTGGACTCAGCATGACTGAGCCCGCTCTGCTGGCTTCTGTCTGAGAACGGACAGGCACGAGGAGACAGACAGGGCACACAGCTGGTGGGCATGCGCCCACAGAAGGGCACAGCACACGATTTACGTGCATCGTCTGAATTCATCTCGCAATGGCCCTGTGACGGCCACAGGTTAAATGCAGATACGTAAGCGGTGCCCGACGTCCCGTAGGCAGGAACAGAGGCACCCGGGCACACAGCAACAGCATAAAAAGGAAGGGTTCTCCCCGTCCCGGGGAAGACCTCAGAGGCTGTCAGAAGGAGTGGCGTTTCCCGGGATGTGGCCAGGAGCGGACACGGGCGGGGGTTACCGTGGGCTTCAGACGGATAAGACGGGGCAGGATGGAGGCTGGGATGCGGGGGGCGGTTTCTTCAGTGGAGGGCGGAGAATGAGGGGATCAGGGAGGGGGGCTGGGAGCCGGGAAGGGCGGGATCGTGGAGCTCCGGACGCTGGGCCAGGGGTGCCGTGGGCCACTCAGGTGAGAGCATTCTCTGGGGAGAGGCCAGAGTGGGGTGCACAAGCCCCTTTCGGCGGGCCGGAAGTGGAAACGCAGGACAGGGGTGTCAAGGGTGCCGTGACGATCTGGGCGGCAGACCGAGGTGCCGAGACGGCAGGGGGAGGTGGGGCCTCACAGCACACCTGCCGTCGGCACGTGTGGGGAGCAGAGGGCGGTGGCGAGGTGCCGGGGACTCAGGTGTCCCCGCCGGGCAGCTGAGAGGGGAAGGAGGTGGTCCTGAGGCAGCCGTTCTTCTACATTTACTTCCAACACGGGGCGGCTCTCCCTCGGTGGCTGGCCCTGGGTTCACCGCCAGTACCCGCTAACTCACAGTGGGGGATGGTTCAATAACATCAACTTGAATTTATACAACGTCAGCGCCAATGACAGAAGCAGTGCCAACAGGAGGAAGAGGGCGTAGGTGCTTTACCCACCGTAATTCACTCAACTGTCTCAACAACCCTAGGACGTGCGTTGCCGTGGTTACCCGCATCTGGCCCACGAGGGGGCTGAGACACAGAGGGACCCTTCTGCAGGGTGTCTGGCGGGTGAGGGTGGAGCCAGGGCTTTGAGGAGAAGGCGTGGCGTTCGGGACGTTACCGATTTAACCCGCCCGGCACCGTGCCTGCCCCGTGGCGAAGGCACAGCCATTGCTATCTTCAATTTTAAAAAACGGACTTCCCCCCTCCAGTGTCCTCTTCCCTCCTGTCCGGCCACGGGACCCGCACATGTGTCCTGGACCCAAGAGCTCGATCTTCCCCTGCGACACCTTCATCCCTCGCCCTCAGGCACACATGGTTCTCCACGCGTGTCCGTTACACCCGAGGCCCAGGTAGTGAGGCTGGTGGCTTATTCTTTCCCCGGGCGCAAAAATTCTGGCCATACCCTCTTTTTCCCAGACCCTCGACCCTTTCTTACTGACTCTTGGGATGTGTTCCGTGATCGTGGGGTCACAGGTCCCTGGGCTACACCTCCCCTTCCCGTCTCATCGGTCACCACCACCTCTCTCAGTGACTTCCGCCCACCGCCTCTCGCACATGGCTGACGTGCAGTGCGTGTGTGTGTGCTGGGTGAAGGGGAGTGAGGAAGCGGGTGGCCTCCCGCGTGCCCAGCCCCTGCCCCCCCCCCCAGGGGCCCCGGGTCTCACCCTGCAGGTTCCGCATGGGCAGCTCCCGCAGCCCCGTGCGGTTGGGCCCGTAGTTGGATAAGACGGACAAGGCGTGGGTGTTCTCCAGGAGCACGTTCCCCCTGATGATCTGCAGGTTTTCCAGAGGGATCTTCTCCACCACGTTGAGGGCGATGAGGACGTAGCCAGCCACCTCCTGGATGGTCTGCGGGGACGAAACAGGAACGCGATGTTTCTCCCTGGAGGGGCTCAGGAACGCCACGGCTCCCCTGGGTCCCCAGAGCCCGGGACACCTCACGGAACTACACACACGCACACGTGGGGCTGACGGAGTGTCAAGCCCGTCGGTGACCCCGCTGAGGGCGTGGAGGGTGACAGGATGCTCGGTCATTCCCGCATGGTGCCTCCCTCGCCTGCGGGCGGGAGGGAAGGGCGCTGGGACTTTACAGCGATGCTGGGGCTCTGGTTCTGATCGGTGGTCGCCACACTCGCGTGAGGACAGAAATGTCTGATTCATTTATTTTGTACCTGTCTTGCCTGTTTTCTCATTAAAAAAAAAAAAGAAAAAGAAACAGCCCTGGCTGGCGTAGCTCAGTGGACTGAGCGCGGGCTGCAAACCAAAGCATCGCAGGTTCGATTCCCAGTCAGGGCACATGCCTGGGTTGCAGGCCATGACCCCCAGCAACCGCACATTGATGTTTCTCTCTCTCTCTCTCTCTCCCTCCTTTCCCTCTCTAAAAATAAATAAATAAAATCTTAAAAAAAAAGAAACAGAGAAAAAATCATCAGGAAGCCAATCAAATCTGACGTTCCATGACTGTCACACCCTGCAGACTTCAGAGCTGGCTCTCCCCGCCCCCGGCTTGCTGGCGCCTGCCCAGAGCTCTCTGGGACCGCTGTGGGCGGCGGCCAACCAGCTGCGGTGGGAGTGTTTACACTGAGAGAATGGGCAACACCAAGGCAAGTTTTTAAAAAATTAAGAGCCAGTCTACCAGGATACCACGGCTGAAGCCACAGTCAACGAGAGTCCTGTCGGCGTCTATGGGGACGGGAGGATGCCAGCCTGGCCCGTTCCTCTTTGCTACCCCGTTATGCCTCAACACTTCTTGGCAAAGCGGCCTTCTCACTAAACCCGCCTCGAAGGTTCCGCGGGACTTGGAGCCGCCGCAGCAGGAGCAGACCCGCGTCCAGGCCCGTTCTGTCCGGGCCTCCATCTGCTCCCCTGCGCCTCTCCGATACTCGGGTGGGAGGAGCAGACTCGCCGCACTGACCTTCAGGAAGGAGAGGTCGTAGTTCCTCTGCATGTAGGTGATCTCCAGGTTCCCCAGGACCACCTCGCAGTTGTTCAGCATCCTCTGGAGGCTCAGGAAGTGGTCGTCCAGTGTGCCCAGCTGCGTCAGCTTGTTGTTGGTGCCCTGGCAAACTGCGGGGGGAGAGAGAGAGAGAGAGGGAGAGAGAGAGACCTCGTGAGGTGCCCAGGAAGGGGGCATGGCTGAAACCGGCAACATTCACAGACGTCGGCCGGCTCTGCGTGCTTGGGTGACGCACAGGATTAATTCTCTCTGATCGAGGCAGAGGTGATAAAACATGTCCAAGTTTTATAAGGCGCAGTTTATAATTAGGGAGCGCTCGCCCCTGTGGTGCAAGAACTTGTTTCAACAGGCTACCCGTGCAAGGAGACCCAGGTGGAATTCCATAAAAATCTCTAAGACAAAATAGTCCGTGAGTACCTCAGTAGGCAGAATAAACACGTATCGTAAAGCCTATAAAAATAATGTAATTACAACGTCGAGTTAATCACTGCAGGATGAACACTCTACTCTGCAGAGGGAGCGCCTGCCGCATCCCAGGTGTCCAGGGCCTGTCTGCAAACACACGGTGACTCCAGGCACCCTCTTCTGACCACGGAGCTGTCCGGGGGAAAGTCCACAGTGAGAAAGGAGAGTGGCAGTTAAAACCCAAATGGCTGGAGATGGAAAATACTCTTCTAAACGACTGCCTCAAAAACAAAAACAAAGGAAAGGTCTAGTTCTACGAGACTTAGCAGACACCAAAAGGAAGACACACATGTACAGACAGACGCAGCTCCGGAGAAACCCACAGCCCTCCCGTGTGTGTCTACCCGCCCTCCCTCTGCCCGCAGCCTGCCAAGCCGGGCTGCCCTGCCCGCGCAGCCGGCGGGGGGGCCTCGACGCCCTCACGTCTGGAGGTATCAAGGTTAAGGCACGAAAACATAGACCACTAGGGGACCAAGTGAGCCACGTGGTAGTCTGCATTTCAAAGCGAAGGAGAGGATTATCCTAAAGCTGTATTCACAGGCCCAGCTCTGTAAAAGACACGTTGGGGCAGGCATCACAGAACACAGAGAGGTCGGGGGCTTTGAAGCAGGAGCGTGCTCGGGGACTCCACTTTGAAGCAAGGTGGTCATCAGGGTGGAGAAACAGGGCCCCTGGCTTTGGAGTGGGATCCAGAGCCGTCCAGGCGCTTCCCCGTCTGCCGAGGCGGGACTGCGATCGGCACCCCGGCGGCTGAGCGCAAAGGCAAGGCCACCGTCAACAGGCGGGGACTTTCTTCAGGAGCTCTTTCTAAACTCGCTCTTCTACCGGCTTCCCCGGTCCCTCCTCACGGGAGCTGCGGGACCAGCACCGTCCGACGCCTGCCCTGGCTTCTCCGTGTGGCCGTGCAGAGCGAGGGTCCGGAGGCCGCAGAAGCAGTCCCCGGCGATCACATCGACGCTGGGCGTGAAGCTGCCCACACCTCCTCTTCTATCCTGTGGGCCCCCCCTCTCCTGCCCTGCTGGGGTCTCATTCCCATTCGGGGGCGGAGAGAGCTCTCGCTCGGGAACTCTGCCAGTCGGCACGATGGAGCCAGGTCGACGGGCTCCAGGGGTGGAATGGCTCCGCGATTCTCCCACCCACAACATGGGAGCGGCCCAGCGTCCCCGGGCTGCTTTGGGCCCAGAGTCCAGGCTGCTTCGAGCTCAGCCCCAGCTGGGAGCCGTTGCACCCAGTGGGCAGGCAGCAAGGCGTGCAGACGGGGCCAGACGGGTTTCCCCATTCCAAGGCCCTTACAAGTGCCACCGCGGAAGCACATCCAGGGTTGTGACAGTAACCTGTGATCCTCCACCAGTACACCTGGGGACGGACCCTGCTTTCCTGGTGCGCAGGCGCGCTCTCCAAATGTCAGCCTGGCTGACGGGCTACAGTCTTGGTCGCCGCAGCGTGGGTCACGCTCTCACGCCAGCCGGGAGGACGGTGTGGACTAGAACTTGGGGTTGCGGCACGTTTCGGAAGAGGCTCCTCCAGCACACAGAGCGACGAAAACGACAGTCGCTGCTCTCGTCCGAAATGATCAACAATGTCGGCTTGTGCGTTCCTCTCTGCCGAACCAAAGGATGCTTATTATTAAACCAATCAGGACGCAACTGGTGTCGGTGAGCCAGGAAAACGCGCCATTTCAGTGTAGCTTGTTTTATGGATGATTATTTATTTATCTATCTAAAGATTTTATTTATTTACTTCTAGAGAGAGGGGGAGGGAGGGAGAAACAGAAGGAGAGAAATAATCATTGTGTGAGAGATACGTCAACTGGTTGCCTCTCAAAGGCCCCCAACCCAGGCATGTGCCCTGACTGGGAATCGAACCAGCGACCTCTCAGTTCTTCGCAGGCTGGCACTCAGCCCACCGAGCCACACCGGCCAGGGCCAGCCTGTTTTATTACAGAAAAAAATAATCTCAAGAAGACGGTACTTGTGCACGCATGCACCCACTCGAAAAGTAACGAATGAACACCTGAAAGTATTCATTTGATGAATACCCATCATGAGTCATCGTGGTTTACAAGTGGCAGGAATTGCTTTGATATTCAGAAAAAACACCCTACGTTTGGAAGATAATAGCAACGCTACTCATTACTGGTGTGAATGTGAATTCAGAAAACATTTTGGGAACCCGCCGGGCAGCTTGTGAAAATACATAAATATGCTTAAATTCCACGTCAGGGTGATTCCAGTTTGGAAACCCCATTTGAAAAAACAGACCTAAATATTTTAAAAAGCATCACGAAAAATGTTGATCATTATCTATTTATGTTTTTAATAATGGCAAAAGAGTTGCAAAAGACCCTAAATGCCCAACCGTCTGGCAGGTCTATTCTTGAGAAGCAGCAAGCAGCTGATGTCTATTGGATTCAGTTTGAGGCAAGTGCACCTCGAATCCTCTGTCCAGAGGTAATTTCAGAAGTGTCCAAAGAGGTCATTAGGGGGCTTTCTCCTACCATCTGCCCGGGAGGGGACAATGGCATCCAAGTGAAATGCGGGGTGAGGAGCGCCGTAAGCTGATTGGACACAGTGTGATCTTGGCTGCATCTGTATCACCCACCTCTCACGCTAGGGAACAAAGCAATGGGAACACCTCAACGTGAGATCCCTGAGTCAGGAAACTTATTTAAAACATAAAAATCACAGACCTGCTGGCGGATGGAAGAGGAAACTTCAAAGAGCGAGAGCCTCTCAGCTCATCCAAGAGAACATTGTAGTTTCGCCTCTCCCTCACTAGGTGACCTTGAACTTCTTCCCACAGCTCTTTGCGCCACACTTCCCTCCAACAGAGACACGGTGAAAACACTGCGCCTCCCAGAGTGGCCCTGAAGGCTGGGCGAGGAAGGCGAAAGGTTCGCCCTTCTGTGGTGAAACTAACGACTGAGAAATGTGACCGTAGTGTGACACAGGGAGCACGTGGACGGACGTTAGGGGACGTCTGTGGACTCACACCTGCCGTGAGGTGTTGTCTGAGGTGGGGGTGTCCGGGTGTGCAGGTAGGCTTGGTCAAAGGGCCGGAGTTAAGCGGAGTTACTCTGTAGAATATTCACTGAGACAGAGAGAGAGAGACAGAGAGAGACAGAGAGAGAGAGACAGAGAGAGAGAGAGAGAGAGAGAGAGAGAGACAGAGACAGAGACAGAGACAGAGACAGAGAGAGAGGGGAACACATTGTACTTTAAGAATGTCCTTAAAATACGCATTTAGGATGAGGTGTTTATGCAGTTTCTTCGAAGAGAAAGTTAATATCGCGTTAGGGCTATGCATTTGACAGTTGAAAGTGACTGCGTGCAGCTCCTCACCAAATACTGGTGACGCGCTCCACCCCGGCGCACCTGCAGACAAGTTCGACTGGGTCACGGGCAGCGGCGGGCGCCGGGAGGAAGCCCCTGCCCGGCACTTGGCTTTTCCTCCTCAGATTTGTGGAGGGAGATTCGTAACTGCAGGGAAAAGATGCAGGAACCGGACTGCGAGCAAGCTTTGGTGACATCTGACTGTGTTCGCTGTATCACGTATCGACCCGTTTTCCTCTGATGCGTTTTAAAGGCAGGGACAGGTACCAGCTCACCTGACCTGCCGTGGCCTCTAGTTCAATGTTCGTTTGCAGATGCTGCCGAGGTCACATCCCCCCGTGGTGACAGAATCAGTCTGAAGTGTAGCGTTCCACGCGAGGCCCCCAGTGCACACCCGTGTGCAGGCAATACCCTCCTCCCAGGACACAGAGCTAGGCCATCACCCCAGGGAGCTCCTCGCACGCCCTCCCAGACAATCCCTGCCCCCCCAAACCAGCACTCCCGAGGGTCTGCACTCAGAACAGTCTTGCTGGGCTCAGAACTCCATGTGTGTGGGACGACGCAACGTTGCCCTTTCGGCTAATGGCACAGCGCAGTGTTTTGGGGACTCACCCACCTTGATGGGTTGCCCTCCACTGTGAGTGACAGACCCAGGCAAGTGTTCTATGGGGAGTTATCAAGAGCCCTGCAATTTATCCGAGCTGAGAATAAGAGCCATCTGCCCCCCTTTCGTCTCGAAATGCCCCTTCTTTTATGGGGAGAGCCTGCCATTCTCCCATGTCTTTATGGGGGGAGGCACCCCTCTTTGCCCGCATGCCTGGGCACATCTGCTTTGCTGGTTGAGACACAACATCAAAACAAGTTTCTCCAGATTCCCCCAAATCCACTCAGACGCCTTTGGAATTGCCTGAGTGAACGTATAATTGTTTTAATTTGTTGTTTTCTCTACCCCATGTTGGTGGCTGCCAAGGCCGCGGGCCTCCGTGAACCTCTCCCTGGGGCCTCCTGAGCTGCCGTGGCCCGTTTTGCATGAGCGCCTCATTTTGAAGCAGATACCACACATTTGAAAAAAAGTTCTTCCCTGGAGTCTCCTCATTTCTCAAAATGTCTATACTAACCACATATGACTTTACACGCCGAAGATAAAATTTACAAAACTCTGTGATGAACAAGGCCAGACGATGGGCATTTCAATACAACACACGTTTTTAAAAAAGAAAAAAATGGAGACGTGATCACGTACAACTATTGAGATCCTTGAAGTTTTCCATTATTCACGACCAGAAGCTTAGGGAAAGCACTTTAAAAATTAG